GTCAGCGAGAACACCAAGAGAGATCTTACAGAATACCGAACATAAACATGAAGATAATTGCAATCTTCTGCAGGGTCGGGAGCTGAAGCTTCTGGATCTGAACAATGGGGAGGATCAAGATACCAACGTCTATCAGAACGTGCGCAAGGACAGTGCCAAAGAAGAAGTCACTGCTCTTGATGGCGCAGGTAAAATGTTTCATCGTAGGATCCCAGAATGCTCGCACAGGGTAACAGTGAAAGGTCGTGAGGAATGTCTGAGCCAATGTGAGCTTATGCCTTGCGATCTCTCAGGATTGCTTACGCGAACGAGGATCCAAAGAATGGAGCAGACCAACAAGACTGAGACGAAGATCTGGATGTTTGCGACGCGGAACATGCGCCAGTAGAAGGACAAGATGGAGATCTTGGCGAAGAACAAGGTGAAGGCGTAGAAATGTTCCATGATGAAAAGATATTTCTTCGTTGTGTAATTGGCTTCCGTAAAGGTCATGCCTTCTACGTCCTTCGCGTGCAAGCCGAAGCCATGGTGAATCCCTTGTGAGAAGTCAGCAATTGTCGTCGTCGATGTCGAGGAGAGGTCGTACAGATAGGCAACACGGTGCCCCAGCAAACGGCAGTGACCTGCACGCTGTTAACAATAATTCCAGGTAGTCGTCTGTCTATCAACGTACATAGCTTAGACAAGCAAAGTAATCATCCCACCAAAACTTTATTCTCGTGATCCTTCGGCTGACAATGCGTAGAATAAGGAAGATAGTCGCAGCTGCAAAGGTAATGTACTCGGCCGCCCAAAGATCAGGTTGCCTTGACCGCATTTCGATATATCTCGTGCAGCTTCAAGAAAGAAAAAAGACAATTGAAGTCCCCTCGATTAGCGAAAACTGGATGTGGAACTCCCGGGATGATATACGTCTGCCGACCATGTCAGTGAGCGCTGTCGATCATTTCATGCGGCTAAGCAGCCTTGTAAGGATGCTGTGCTAGACCAAGCCTCGATCCAGAGGTAGAATGTTCCGACAGAGGGTGAGGGTAAGCCGTTGATGGAAGGTCTAGGCTGCGTTATGCGTGGAAATTGTGAAGCAAAGACCATCTGCGAAGAGGCTAATGGATAAAGAACTATTGAGCCGTTTACTAATCTTGGCGATCGGAACATGTGCAAGCCTGTAAAATGATAAGCAGCCACAATTAACTACAGACCGTCTAGCATCTTGAAGACGGACGGGGTTGCATCGTTACGGTGAAGGCAAGGCGAGGTGTCGCCAAGAACAGAAGCACTTGTTTCATCTTGGACATTCGTAAGGAAGTCAGACCGGAAATGCCGAGTTACTGTTGGTCATTGAATGCCGACTAACCCAAATATTCACTTCAGGCTTTGCAGACAAGTTGGTTGTACGGTACAGTAGCAGTCAAGCGTGTCACTAGGATCCAGTCCCCAGGTTCCAGAACCAGGGTTCTCCATGATCTTCAGGCTTATTCATCAGGATTAAAGGCATCTTATTCGACAGGGCTTTTAGTAGTGCAACACCCCGGTGAAGCGGCTGATGCGATCCGGCGTTTAGCTTTAAACTCTATTATCCAACTCGAGTTTGAGCCTTGAACCGTCGCCGTTTTTCATCGTCTCTTGGCCTAGATTGTTTCAAATTTCCACCCATCACTTAGTGTCGATCTCGATATTGTCGCGTGATTTGGTCTGTGGTTACTGGTTCATTGTTCCGGGTCGAGACTCAACCGACAGATTGGGTGTTGAGATGCTACCCTGCCCTCCGCTCGTGCTGAAGGTTCACTAGTTTTTGGGCAGCATACAGGGGCCGGTATTTTCAGGGCGAACGCGCTTGGAATAATATCACAGGCAGTCACACAGTGCAATGACCCGAACGCCTTGGAAAAGTCTGAAGTGCACTGACTTTGGAGGGAACACATGTCGGCCACTTACCAGAGTTTGAACTTTCGCAGCTTAACACGAGGCTCGGTAACTTTGCAACGTGTTTGACAAGAGCTAATGAACCGGTACCTACATGTTGACTTGGATATTCGCGATATCACATTTTCGCTCCTGTCTTTAAAGCAAATGCAGGTTATCGATTCGAAAAAGCAATATTCAGGCATCAAGCCAGAATAGTTTAGGTTCCGAGAATAAATTCCCATGTCTCTGCCCATGAGGAACGTTGGCCGACGTCAAGGATCAGGCTGGGGCCTGTCGATCATGTCCAGGGCCTATGCTGGGCATCGACACGCGGAGGCGCCGTTCTGTTGCCAATTTATTAACACGGGACGATCAGCTTCATTCACGCCAAAATATGTTACGTGCTCACGGTAACGGACGTTGAACCATTCGGGCCTTTAGCTCAATCGTTTAAAAACCCAATCGGAATTGATCGAGGCCAACCATTGACACTATTGATCCTCCAGCCAAGTTCAATTTGAGACCAGACTAGGATAAGTAAATGAATAGATGGTAATTGTAAACCTTGCACCCAGTGACGCGGAAAACTGCTACCCTGCCTTCCCCAGTTTCACAACCGAGGGTCGGCATATGAAATGTCAAATATGACAGGGAATCGTTGAAAATGTTTCGTGTGGAGATTGGGAAATGTTTTATGACAAATAAGAACCAGACAAGGTAATGACTTGCATTTTTCAGCTGAGCTTGTTCAGAAACGATATCGTATTTATTATCGGGCAATGAAATTTCCATGTGAGAATGTACCGGGTTCACTATTTAGTAAAGGCAAAAAGGTTCAGTCGCAAACGATGGTCGATTTTCTAGCCCGTAAACTAATATAACCACGATAACAGCTAATCTTAGTCACAATTTTCTTACGATGAGGTTTCATTCCCGTCGATCTTGCTTAGTCGAAGATGACAAAAACATTGTTTGTGCGTGGTCAAAAGGGGCAGGGCATACAATTCCCCGCCTCCTCGAACCCTGAATGTGCCAACTGCAACATACTCATCGTGCGCGAAGCAACATTGAGTGCCGCGGCGGTATCCGTTAAACTTTGGCATTTTGGTAACATCGACTCCACATAGACGCAGATACACGATTCATGACAGGTGTAATGGTGAGGCTACTCCCGCGTTTCTCGATTTTCCCGGTGAGTTACAGCTGGCATATCATCAAACATTATCCCCTGCGGAGGGAAGAGCTTATAATTGATGATCATTGCTGTTGTTGAGCCGTTCAATAGCCCATGTTAGGATCATGGCTCCAGGTGCAGCTGATTGACCTGAACCTGACGAAGGTTTCGTATGGTTCAAAGCTTCAAGTTCAAAGGAACCTGCTGGATACCGTTAGTAACGAAGGCTTTTGTTGAGGCTTTCCATTGCTCCTATTCAAACACTGCGTAACTGAGAAAAGCTATCACAGTGAAGATCTGTGTCTCAATCCTCCATGCAGAATGAAATTGAAGGCCCTAAGAAACCATTCCGAATGATTCCCGCACTGCACTTACTAGCAGCTGATATCGGTCTTCGATGCTGCTATTAATATACATACCCATTACAGAAAATTCAGTCCGAAAGAGATTTTGAGCTGGATGTTTCCATGTAACAGGCACAGAAAAATCTTGAGGCGTGAGAACCTGTACCATGTTCCTATCATTCGCTTTGTTAACAGTGCGAGATACCTAGAGCCTATTCTCACGACTTGCAATTTCTCCTCTAGTAATTCCTCCTGAGGTTCCTATAGTGAGCTATAGCGGAAATTACAAGCCATAAGAAGAAACCGGAGACTGCTGATACAGGTAACCAAGGATACAACAGTCTTTTTCCTATCTCAAACCATGAAATTCAAACCCGGAACAAGCTCACCTGAGTATTGCAGCTTGTATTGCATAAACATTCGGTGGCGATGCCGACCATGATTTGCGAGCCTGAGATAGGACACATACGAGACCAGAAGTGTTTTGTTTTTTATACCGTCGTGCCAAGGGATTGGTAACTGTGCAATGCGATATGCCTTGACCTTCAACCCCCAGCCAGATATATCGACTTTACTATGACCTGGGCCACATTCGCACTTGATAGTGAGTATGATTTGGAAGGCATTTATTGCGAAACTTCGCGTTGCTAGTTCTATGAGCACTAAAGAGCTCAAGATGGATCATTATGGTACATAGGCAGTGCTTTTTGCTGTGCAATTCAGTGCTTTTGCTGGCCGAGAGCCGAAGCTTACCGCGCATCTCACCTATATTTTCCTCAAATGGCCTATGTGTTGCCGAAATAGGCGAACCTCCATGCTTCGAAGACGTAGTCTCAATAGCTGAAACTGAACTCGTGAGCCTCTGATCAATCTAGAACGACTGCGGCTTGCGTGGAACTACAAGCTAGCCATTTGGAGGTGCCGGCGTGATGCAAGTCCCAGATTCGAATTAGTGGATTCTTGGGATCAAAAATACGACTTCTAGCACTCAAATTTGGTGCGGCACGAAGTACCATCTATCATGAGTTTAGGGTAAAAATCGCTTCCTCAGCTTTCATTTTCGCGCTACTGGAAGTCTGGTACCCAATTGGACTATGTATTTACTGGTCGAGCCCACGACCAGCGTTCATTCAAAAGCACCATAGCCAGTAGTTTTGCCACTAAGTCAACATTTCGCATTCACTACTGTCGATAGATCGCCACGTTGTCAATAGTCGGGGCCGAAAAGAGCTCAAGTAGGATCTTGGAAACCCAATCGAGGGGTTCAGCTGTCCCTCATCAGATCAGTAAACGCCATAACTGGAACATTTTGGTTGGTATACTGAGACAGATGAACTGGTTCTGGAATCGCTTATGCCTATATGCACTGGTCTGGACCACGAGGCCTCTTTTGTGCTTCTAGATATAAAAACCTGGGCGTCGCGAAGTCATTCTGAGAGCGAACCAAATTCCAATTTCTTCCTTGATATTTCTCGTACTGTGACCTTGAGCTTAAGGATCTCTATAAAGGATCTCAGAACACCAAATTATCACAGCCACCAAATCTTTCAGAACACTTTCTTCTCTTTAGTCTAATCATGCCCGCTCCTGCTCGCCCCATCCGCGGCAGACCCCCTGCCTTTTCTAAGCAGGACGAGGATCTCTGGAAGGCTTACGCCAAAGCACTCCAGGCAAGGTTCTTTAGCAATCTTGACACAAAGAATGAGATCTTCTATGCTGCTCCCGTCGGGGTGATGGGCATCCCTGGTGGTGACAATATCCCTCAGGAGATCATCAACAGAGGAGTTTACGAGATTGGCGATGCTCTCATGCAATTGGACACTCCTGTATTCGCTGCGGGGAGCAAGAAGTACTCCCAGCGACTTCAAGAGTAAGACGCACTTCACAATATTCGAAACCTCAGCGATGACTAAAGTACCCAATAGAGCTCTAGGGGCCGTAAGACTCGGAAGGAATCGAGATATGGGTGCCGAGAAACGAATGAACGACATCCTCGCTAAGGTCGGAAAGCTCAATGCAGTGTATGCGGAGATGAGCGAGAAAGCATTGGAATTGTACGCGGGCGATGAGGATAAAGGAAATCAAAATTTCAAACATTGGACTCAACAAAACGTAAGATCTTGAATGATTGCTGATGGCATTAAATCCTCATTGTCTTAGAAGAGTTACTAATCACCTAACATCTTTACAGTACCCGAGTCTTGTGTCTTTGGCTGCAGAGAGGCAATCTGCCGTTGCGACTGAAGCATCTCTACGTGCTCAGTTGGACGGCCCTGGCGGCTCACAGCTCAATGAACAGAGACGGAAGGTGTTCAATGCTAGTGACTCGAATGTGGACTATCCTGGTTTCAACATGCCGTGTACCTCAAGCTTTGGCAACATCATCAACGGTTCTTCTGATCTTCCTGAAGGCAGTATTAAAGTGCCTCGACCTGCCTATGCCATCGACAATTCTTACAGAGACACGGTTGGAAACTGGATCAGAGGCACCGGCGGCGAGAACAAGCTGAACTTGGCCTTCAACATCAATGATGCCAAGTCAGACAATTGGGACCAGTTCGGTTTCGTCAATGTGAACGCCAATGCAGGCCGGATTTACAGCACTTTCTTCAAGGCGAGCTATGTTCAGGACAATCAGAAGAAGGAGGATTTCATCGCGGCTCAGGATGTCGGCTCTGAACTCTCAGTGCAGCTGTCAGCGGCAGAAGCGGGTATCTTTACTGTCAAGCCAGGTGACTGGGATGTGCCTAACATCATGGAGGAGTACCCAAACTTTCAGCCTGAGGCTGCTCGCAACATTGGTCCTGCGGCCAGAGTTGACCAAGTCATTCTGGCTTACAAAGTGGTCATGAAGCTCTCTCTGCCCGCTAAAGTGGCTGAGCGTGTCAATGACCTAACTCAAAAGGCCAAGAGTACCGGCGGATCAGTGAGCTTCTTTGGGTTTGAGGTTGGGTTTGGTGGAGGAAGCAAGGACGAGGCCAACGTCTCTGGTTCATCCATTGAGATTCGCAAGGACCTTGGATATCCTGTTCTATTGGGTGTGAAGGGCAAGAAACTTCCAGGTCTTCGAACTGGTCGCTAGTTGGTGTATGCCCAAGCATTGAGAGGGCTGTTGAAGTAGAACACTAAAGTTCTGGAAAAGGGTTTCTTATTGTAGATATTATGTGCAGGACTGAATATAAGTGATTCAAAAGAACAATTCAATAACATAGTACCTGACGTTAAACACATTAGGCAACAAGTTTTGTGCTATGTAGTGCTTTCACCAGTGACGTGATTCGCTGACTCAGGATCATGCATCGACGTATGAGTCAATCAGACAAGATGTCAGATGGAAAATAGATTGGCCTTGGGCTTGTCAGCATTAAGAATTCCCAAGAAAAATTGCGTTCCCCACGATAAAATGGAGGAACAAGACCTTCTTCAACAGCTCAAGGACACGCCGTTCGCCTGCTCATCTCTGTCACGTTTGAGCAGTGGAAGCGCCAACTATGTCTATCGAGGCATTCTAATCGATGCCATTCCCACCAGAGATGAATCCTGGAATATGAAAAGTGTTATCGTGAAATATTCACTTGGTCATATACCGGGAAATTCTGGGTTTAAACTCGACTTGATTCGCTGCGTATGTCTACATTTCATCTTCTTTCCCACCAAAGTTAAAGAACCGATGTCCATAAGCTAGCAAAGGGCTGTACACTGACCTTGCCATCTACACAGTCCGTCGAGAATGTCGTCCTCAAGTACTTGAATCAGTCATCACTGACGACCATGAAAGTCAAGATCCCTGTTACTTATTTTCTGGATCGTGATGCTCGCAGAGGCATTGCAGTACAGGAAGACTTCCACCAATCGACTGACATAGCATCCATCATACGTTCAACAGAAATGAGTGGCTCTTGGACACGATCAAAGGCACTGTCGACTAGTCGAGAAGTTGGATACTGGCTGCGTTGCTTCCATGAATGGACCTCAGAACCTCAACAAGCAGACTTCCGAAGCAAGGTTGGCTGCAACGAGCCCATGCAAAGACTCAAGCATAAAGTCACCTACGGCGCATTCATTGACATTTTGAAGAACTTTCCCGATATCCTGCAAAAGAACGTTGGGGTTCTGAAAAAGGTCCAAGAACGAGCAGAACTCGAGCTCCGAGATCTGACGAGTAGTAAGAATGGACCAGATCGAGGTATGATCCATGGAGATTGCTGGATGGGAAAGTGAGTTACAGGAACGCTTCAAGCCGACATATACAGCCACTCTGACTCCCAACAAGTGTTCTGCTATCGAAATCTCCTACGGCCCCAATCGGCCCTCGCTCAAATACAGAGACTGTCTTCATTGACTGGGAAATGTGTCAATTTGGCCATCGAGCGTACGACTTGGGACATATGATAGGGGATCTGTATGAGGCGTATCATTTTCACAACTCGGATATCGCTTTGTCGATGATACGTGGCTTCATGGATGGTTATGGGGAGGTCGACGACGATATGGCATTCAGAACGGCTATTCACACCGGTGTGCAGTTTCTGGGCTGGCATAATCGTCGTGCCCCGTCGGACTCTGTGAAAGGGACTGAAGAACAGATTTCGAGTGCAGCATCGATCTCAACAAACATTATTGTCAATGGCTGGCAGCGGGAAAAACAGTGGTTTCAAAGTACCCCATTGGCACCGTTGCTCCATCCTGGTACATAGGTTACGGCATTTATGAACAGGCTCATTACCTGGTACGGACCAACTTTCAAGCGACTACCGAAAGCGTGTCTCTCCGTCTGGCGATGAGCCATATGGTATTCCAAGCCTTTTATAGAGTTACCATCTATATGTAACAGACAAGGAATCAAAGGATTTTCTTTCACTGCCGATCGTTTCCCTCTGTGAATGCTGTAAGACGGCGCAATACAGCTCGCACAATGAACCTAACACGGTTTAGCGCCATATTCCAGTGGCACTGTTTTGTGACAGCCTCCACCTCGATCAATGTTCCCCATTGGGAATAACCTCATGTAAGACGCCCAACATGCGACAGAGGATTGACTATAAGACAGGTGTTGTGCCCAGATGAATGCTATCAAACAAATAATCTCGTGCCTTGATCAATACACATCGAACTATCTTATCTATTCAATCAACTCTTGGACAATGTATCCTCACCAGTTTGACTCCCAACAACAGACCCTGCCATCCGAATTACCGGCTGAAACAGTCCATCATCACGATTACACATACCAACCCAGCCTTCATCTTTACCAACCACAAATACTACCTCCTTCGCCTCCCATGGAAAGACCAACTCTATCCCCATCACGTCCCATCCTCATCCCCTCAACCTCAATCACAGGCTCCCTAGAAGTAACTCCACCATTCCACCGAGCTTATCCTCCTATTCTCAACTCCTATGGAATCTCTTCAAAAGATTTCATGGCTGTCATCGATGCACTCAACATCGCCCTTGCTGAGCCAGCACCATTCAAAGCAATGGAAGTCGCAGGCGATGGCCTCGGCTTCGTCCCTAATGAAATCGCCCAAGGCGTTTCTTTAGGTCTTGGATTAGCCGCAGGTACTGGATCTGCTGCTACCGCATATATCCGAGAGAAAAGGGTCCTTGAGAGGGTGAATCGTGATATATTCGCCCCAAAGGGCTTGGTGATGAAGACCATGAAGGATGAGGAAGTGATGCAACGACTCAACACCACGGCTAAGAGTCTTGATCCACTACAAAGGTTGCAAGAAATAGCACCGTATGTTCAGGTTCTGTCTTTTGATGTCGAGCCACCTGTTCGACATTCTAATATGCTGGATCGCATCAGCGCCAAGCAAGCTGCGAGCAAGCAAGCAGGCAAGGAAAAGAAGAAACAGAAGAAACAAGACAAGCGCCTCCAAAAGCGCGAAAAGGCCGCTGATAAATTCGATCGTCCAATTGATTCTATCGATGAACAGTACAACTCCGACATTGAAAGTCGAATTGAGATCGAGGCCAGGATCGCGAGGTTGGAGGGTAGGATCGCGGATATCAACATGAAAGCAGAAGATAAGCTTGCTGAGTCGAGTAGCAAGAAAGCTGGCGAGATTGAAAAGAGACGAAGAAAGGACTTAGAAGAGGTTGAGAAGGATCGTGCCAGGTTAATGGAGAAGCATGGTAAGGCTATTGCCAAGGTGAATAAGAAAGCCGAGAAGAGGGATGAGAAAGATGAGAGGAAGGTGGCTAAACTGGAATGGATTATGATTCGAACTACTTAGATTATTTCCTTGATATCACTATATAGATGTACATATTACTTGATTAGAATTACGCTCGATGACTTCCATTCCCGTCTTCTCCCAATCTCAAATCCATGAGTCCCGGCAATGACCCCATTCATGATTTCTTCAGCCCCTTTCTCCTCTACACTGCCCCTGTCGAAGTTCATACTTGCTATTTGAAGTGGAAATATGAACAGTAAGGACTCCGTGCTGTGAGACTCGTGTCCAAGACATGATGCTGCTAATTGGCATATCTCAGCGGCAATTGCTTTCCTGACTACTTGTCGATCTTCAAGAATAGCTGGTATCTCAGCTACCAGAGGAATGTTAAAGAAGGAACAGAGACCGGTCATGCAGAGTATTATTGCTCTTTGTAATGCAAGAAGGGCTTTGTGTCTGACTGGGTGGGAAGTGCTGTCTTGTGTTGAAGCGAGAGGGCAACCGGTGAGAGGTCGAGGGTGCTGATAGAACTGCTCCCAGTCTTCAAGATCCGACAACGTAGTCTCGACTCGTTGCCGAAGTTCATCAGAGAACTCGCTGTCAACTTCACCTCTTTCTACACGATCCATGTCATGCAACTGGCCGGGAACGCGGGCAAAGATATCGTGTAAGGCATCACTAGCTGTCTTTGGTACGGTCGATGGCCAGGGGACTGTCTGCCACTCTGGAAGTGTGAGATAGCAATGCTTTCTGTTTATCAGTGCGCATAATATCTATTCTAGTCAGCTATGCTCCATTCTGGGAGGGGCGTTTCATACTATCTCGAACCGGCACTGTCTGAGGAGTTCCCTCTCCAGGACTGTTTGGTGTCTCCATGGTCCTCTCAGCTTGACCTTCACATCAACGGTTTAGTATGGGCTCGAGTATCCAAGTGGTCACGATACTTACCAACTGAGTTATTCCCTGATAGTGCTTCAACCATCCCGTCTTATCAGTAAAGACGATGTTCTCAAACATGCACAAGCAGATTACACTAGCAAGTGTGTCCCACTCGAGAACAGCAGTCGAACTCGCCAGGTCAAGTTGCACTCTGTTCAAGGCTTTCACATACTCTCTACTTCCGAGGTCAAAGACACGCTTGTCACTGTTGGTTTTGCCAAAGTATACGGCTGCTAGTGCTCGCACTGCAAGAGAACGTGTAGAACCTGACAATGTGATGGATTCGAGATTAGCCATCAAAGGCGTTACTTCATCAATCCTCGATAGTAGATGGGCATGAATTACGGCGTCTTGATCCAGTAACAGTGGTGATGGACGGCACATCTGTCGTTCAGGCGTCTTAGAAGACGTATTGGCCAGTTGAACCTGGAGCTGGTTGTCCTTCATTGGCGATTTATCTTTTGCGAATCGCGTCGTCTCATCAACAAACTCGCCGTACGTGACATAGCCTTCACAAGCCAACCCAGCTTTCTCGCATCGCTGACAATGCGGCTTGCTGTGATCTACAGTGACCGTCAGTCAGCGCGTCTCTCTAAGCAACATCCGGCAGGGACGATACCGCATTTTACGCGTCTTCGCTTGCATGTTCTGCACGCTTTGCTACGCCCTCCTCGATTGACCATGACGATGAGTTCGGGCTTGCTCAAGCTGACTGTCCACCGACGCGCTCAGGATGAAATGAGGGGACATGTCAGATGGGATGTGCCAAGATTGCGCCACAGAAGAGTCGTCATCATCCTTGATTTGAGCACGGCGCAGTAATGGCCAGCTCATTACCAGATATCTTGGCCTTCCGGAGTTGGGAAAACTAGAAGAATTGTCTTGGTTTACGGCCGCAGGCACCGACAAATTCACATAAAATGAGGCGCGCCATGGAGGACCGAGATACCTGCTCTGTTTGACGGCACTCGATTAGCTTCTCACTCAGCGGCGCAACACGATTGAGCGCGGAGCACCGAAGATTGTTAAGTAGAAGAAGGCGATATCAGTGTCGTTTATTGTTCGATTTAATCCTTCAGGAATAGGATTGAGTGGCGATGTTGCCGAACTTCAAGAATTAATGCGTTCATCACCTGAGTCATCAGTGGACAAGGTAATAATCGCGAAGTAATTGGGATTGACCAGAAAGAGAGCTGCACGATCCTTGTGCACCTTTGCAATATGAGAAATATAATTATCCAGCGCTCGTATTCACTACAATAAGCAATATCTGTATGATCTTTCTCTGATCTCCAGATATACATTGTAATCTCATGTTCAGCCCTACCCTACGGCCCCCAAAGTCGCAAACCATGACACCTCCCCCTCCCCTTTCCGCCCCGCCGCCCTGTTTTATCCCCTGTAGCAAATTACGCTCCCACCAATGACCGCCAGCTGCCGAGTTTTGAGGCACTTCCTTCCAATCCATCACTGCCAGAGCATCCATTTCATCATCCCCTGCCAAGCCATCACTGGAAATTAAGCAATGAACTGCACTGCGGGGCGCACAACCTCCATCGTTTCACTCAACACCAGGATCATTATCAGTCAATGTCAATTCAATTCTCTAAAATGCCCTTCCTTATTCTACCGCAACTCCAAGTATCCTGAATTATACACAGGTGATATGATATGCTGTAATACAACTGCAAAAATTAATAATGCCACTCTATTCGTATTACCAATTACATTGTTTCTTTCTGTTTCGTGTTCTCATCATTGTGCGTGCTTTTTAATGCTGCTCCGATACCCCGGTGTCGCCCCTTGGCAGAAATAGTGGTCCAGCACCAACTCCTCTGCCTTGATGTCCAACCATCCAGGCGACGAGTCGCCAATGCCAAAGCTCAGCCAGATCTCATCGTCCAAGTACCCGTGGCTTCTTTGTGAAGGTTGATCGCCGTGATACACCATGCTTCCTGTCCAAATGTATCTGCTGTTGGTCTCCCCATGGTAGGTGAGCTTCTTGCTGACGCTCATCATGTGGTATGGCGCGACGGGCGAGTAGACCACTATTCGGTGGTCGTACCATGTGTTTGTGTATTGAGGAGGATCGTAGCGCATCTGCACCATGCCCATAATGACCGTGTTGTTCTCCATAGGCTCGCAAGCCCCGCGATTGCATAGGGTGAGGCTGAGCATGGGCGTCGATTGATGCACGCGCTTGTCGGTGAGCATGACATCGTTCATGCAGGTCTTTTCGGCAGAGTGCCACGTCTTCTTCTCGTTGTCGGGAGGGAAGGGTTCGTCGACGGCGGATTCGGGCTCAGCTTCCATGTTCCAGACAGGCTCGTCGGTCGAGTTGAAGCGGTAAAGCTGGCTAGGCTCCACCATGAACATCATCTCGTCGTCGTCGGCGCTGAAAGGAGAGTAGACAGGAGCCCAATTCTTCTCGCGTTGGTATCGGGCGTCGGATTCTTGGCCCTCGGGGGGCAGGCGACGGAGGAGGATGGGCTCGGCGAATTCGATGGGAGGGAGTTCTTTTGCGTGCTTGCCCATTTGTTTGACGAGCTCGGGGACAGCTGCACGCGCATCGACGATGTACATGCCCTCACAGAGGTTCTCGTCATTGACCTGGTGGGTGAAGATGAGCATGGGAGTACCATTTTTCCTCCAAAACAGCTTCATATCCTCAGGGCCAATGTATTTATCCATGTCGGGCTGGTTTTTGCAGTGATGCTCGGGGCCTTGAGCCTCGGTGAAGTCCTCCACAAGCATCTTGTGCCAATCGTTGTCCGCAGTGAGCTCCGGCCGGCCGAATGCATCCCATGTGAGGCTGACGAAGGTGGCGACTTGCTGAGCTCGTCTGTATTTCTTGCCCTTGATATCTTGGTCGACGTGAGGAGCGCGCGCAATGACGAGGAAGTCGTGCTTGCTACCCTTTGGCAATTCAAGAAGGGTCGGATTCATAATCTTCTGGCCCGTCTTCTTGACATTTATAGAGTTATAGAAACCCAAGTTATTCCGTGTACTCGTAAGGAGGCGGTAATCATTGGTTCGGGAGAGGAGAGGGTCGTAGCCCGAGTGGCCATTGCCGAATAGTTTGTCGCTCATGGTGAAAGTGAGGATCATGACGACGAGAAGGGCTGTTGTCGTGACGTAGAGAATGATGCGCCGCGGGTGAGGATGAGGAATGCGGATGCTCGAGAGGCGCACGCTCAAATTGCGCAAGCTATTGGGTAAGCGCATATTGGAGACGCGCATCTTGAATTGAAGGAGCCGCGTCGGCTGGAGAAGAGAATTGGAGCGAAAGACAGAGGAGGCTCAAGCCTCACATCGAGGAATAGAAGAAGACGTGTCTCGATTCGTGTCGCCGCGATCGGGCTCGACTCGATTGATGTAGCGGTGATGCTGAAAGTACAAGGACGTAGAGAAAAAAAAACAGCGCCACGAAGAAAATAAATGACGGCAAAAGAGCGGATGGGAAGAGAAAGATGGAGACAAGGTGAGGCGAAGTGTTTGTCCAGTGTTGACACGATGGATGGATTGGACTTCTTGCAGGCGAGCGCCCCCCTAAAACAAGCATAAGAAGGAACCCACGATTTCACAGACTTTTTTTCTTCTAGTTAAAGGGGAGGGGGGGGCTACAGGGCCTAGCAGGGGTAGGGCCACTAAATCTAGAGTTATTTTTCAATGGAAGCTTCGATTCCCTGACATCCTGTTGGTCAATGCGCCATGGACTGCGCCACAATTGGTTCAATCCCTTTAAAGCTCTCCACTGCTGTTGGTACCGCATCCAGTGAAAGAACAGGTTCGAGACATGAGCTTGTTGATCAGTGAGTTCTTTTTAAACTTGTTTGCGTCTCAGACATCGGCGATTATACCACGTGGGGCCTTGCTCTCAAACCAGACAGAATATTCGTGATATTCAGACACAAATCTGTCAATTGAATGCAAAGTCGTGGCACAGAGTGTTCTAGATTCAGATGCGGAGAAGGCCTGTAATACAGTGCATGAACGACAAATGCTCACGCGGATGATTGCCATATTAATACGGTATCGTCTTTGGCGCAGTTGCAACGCCAAGTCTGCTCACGCACCACCAAAGAAATCTGTGGAGATTGTCAACATGGAATTGTAGATTTGCCAAGGTAAAAATCCACCTTTTTTTCGTCTCTTCTAACATCTAAATCAGCCCTATGGCGAACTCTGTTTTCCATGCATTCTGGCCGAGCTCATACATCTCCACTGTCTGCTTTATCGATTGTCACAGAACTTGTTGAGACGGTGTTGCATACTTCAACACTACCTACCTGCTATTAGCCCAGGTCTGGACTCTTCGTTAAGGCCTTGGCGGCTTTGGAAGGATTGACTGCCTAAGCGATGACACTCGTTGCGCCTCTTCGTGTTCCTCCACCCACTCACTGAACCGTCCCAATGAGGGGTTGAAGCAACCCTCACGAGACGCGTCACATCCAAGCTAAGATCGTTCAGCAACTTCCAAAACGGGACGTACCTTGGCTTTGCATCGTGCAATTCCTGTTTTTGAGCTCTTTGTCAGGGCATGAGCGTGGCTGATGTTTAGGAACGTTAATGACTTGATGAGGCAACGTGTTGTGAAGAGAACCGAGCAACCGAATTCAAGCTTATTGTTGCGATATCCGACGTCAAACGCCCACGAATTGGCAATGACCTCCTTGAGGAAGATTAAACGAGTATGCTTGATGGAGGAGTTATGATTCTTCTGGGTATGTATTCCATCCTCCTGTTAGGAGCCCCCCTGGTCCGAGATTTCAGACACAGTCATGAGTGCAGCATGACCTGCAACAGTCTCAACTCGCAGGTTTCATGATGCTTCAATGAAAGCAAGGCCAAAACATTGCCAACCACCTCTTCGAACCGATTCAGAATGGCCTCCTGTAGACCGAGACCTACTAGCCAGGACTGAGTGCTGCACGACGAAAGCCATCGATGATGCCATTCAAGTGAGGATCATCACGGCTCTGGAGTACGAACCCACCTATTCCTGTGACGCTATACTTGATAAGCAGCATCTACCGCACCTTGGTTGCCCGTTGTCAAGCCTCCTTGTCCAGAGTCCCATAAGATATTAGTATGAGGTCCGCGACGTCAGAAGAGACTCCGGTGGAGAAAATACGGCATTCTCTGAAACCACACGGCCTTTGACCGTTAAGTTTATGAGGTCACTGATGAATGATAGAGTCTTGCAATTAAAATCTACTAATGGTAGGTAGGAGAACCGGTCGAGCTGCAATGTAATATCCAGGACCCGGACTGTTTGCTGGCCAAGAAATAGGGATTCTAAAAAGTAGGTTCTGCGATGAGGAATACTTCAATTCTCAAAGACATCCCATATTGCTGTAATTGACCCTAACACAAGAAGTGTTCACGAGTGAGAACTTCAGAAGTAAGGGCTTTCATGACGTCGAGCATCCTACTCTCTGAATTGTTGAAGTGAGTGAGGAGACGCCCAACCCCAATGTACCCGAGTTCTCAACCTTGCAAGAAAGAAGATATATCACGAGGCCTTGGGGAGCCGAAATACAGGACATTGGCTTTTAATCTAGCTTCAGGGAAGTGCAACCGGGTCACATACTGAAGGCAATTTGGAACAGTGTTTTCTCTAGCATGGTTCATGCCTTCCCGCAAGTTCTATCCTTAAAACTCTGAACAAAATACATCAGCTAGTCGTACTAATCTCAGCCTTTAAAAGGTAAAGATGATTCTTTATCTCTAAAGTTTGTATACCATATACGACTTGCGATACTGAATACTTACTGCTATGTGACAGAAAATATGGTCTTCTAACATGAGGAACGTCGTAAAAGTAGCAAGACATTGAAAGAACAAGGCTTCTTAGACACACTGAGGATATAAGGGAAGGTGATACACATCTAAAAGATGAGCGATATGAGCGTTAGTGTTGCTGTTACCATACCCAGATTCATCCAAGCTCCCCAGGTTAGGTATGAGTACCAATGTTTGGCAAACGGGCAAATGGTAAAGACGGAGAGGCCTATAGTTAAGAAAGCTCCAGCACCAATCTCGCCAGTGGAACGTTGAAGAGTGTTAGTGAATACCGACCCTCGCTTAACAGACCCGAGGGGGGCATGAAGTAGAAGGAGAAACAAGCTTCAATGCGTAAGCTCTGTGAAAAGGTCTGGAAATTCCTCCCAGCAAATGGTTCTTTCTGAACTGACTCATAATATAGCAACCACTTTCTAACAATGATCGAAAAGAAGTCACTGCTGTACAAGTTAATACACTCAACAGACCTGAAGGTGCAGTATGAACGCATAGAGATGCATGCCTGTCACTATTTGAGTGCAAAAATAGGAGTTCGAGTTGAAAGTGAGTCGGTCAGATAACAAAAAGGGGAGGTGCATGAAAATGAAAGATAAAGAAAGCGGAGGAGTTGTAGTCAGAGTGGATATTGTGCATGATTCAGCCAGACAGAAGCATAATTACAAAGCGATGTTTTTCAGATGCCGTCAAGTTACGAAGTGATGTCAGAACTGTTCGTCTGCCGATGCTTCATCAGAGGCCCGCGCATCAGGCGACTTGACATGATTGACAGGTCAAAACCCTGGTTACCGGCATCTTGGAAGTGGTATATCGAGTCAGTAACAGAAGGTCTCTGCCTTGTACCTTTAGGGCGCATGTTATGTGGCTCTCTCCTTTGCCAGAGGCTCAAGTTCAGGGTCTCAAAGAGGAGAGGACAAGGGAAGAATGGGTTCGTCCTGAAGTGCAAACGGATGCAAGACTCGTGAGGGACTTCATGAAACCTTCTACTACTGATGGTCCAGGGACGGCATGCCCGAGAGGATATAATCTTGGCGAGGGGCCAATTGAGAAATGCCGAAACCAAGATATTACCGTACTCGCTCTTGGCCAAATGCCGAATCTCCTTTTGGTTGTTCTCCATAACCCAACATTACCTATCATATTTATCCCACTTCCCCTGATTCAGGACCAGTTTTGACTCGAAACTAGATCTTATCAGGCTGTTTCTTTTTATTTTGCTTCGGCCCTACAAGTAATCACCGCGTGTGATTCTTTGTGAAGAAATCTGACCATCTCTATAGCATAGTTGACTTCCAGCGCTATAGGTAGGATCTTATCAGAGGCATGGGGATTAATTGGGCATTCAAGGGCACCGTTACGTTGCATCTACTATCAGCGGGATCTCCGTAACCGGATGTTAAAGATTATACAAAAGAGGAATGGTTTGACAGGCCGTTGACGGTAGCTATATATATCCTGGTCAATACCCCTGTGCTAGTCGAAGATCGATTGACCTGAGATTTGACACGTGCTTCAGGGCTGAGGCTTGGCTTAAAACCGAGGTTATCACAATGTCTTTATGATTACCTGCCTATTTGAAGATACACGATTTCATTTCAGGAAGTTCCATAGGTTTAGTTCATGACGATCTCTTTTCAAACGGCAACTTTCGTGAAGGGAGATATGGCTTTGTCACGATGGCTTCACTCAATCGAGCCTCTTGGCGTCGCTGCTGTGCCGCATCCCTGCTTCATCTTCAACGGACCTATAACCGCCCACGTCGCAAATGCGAATGATACCATCAATCATCTGGCAGCCAACGTTTAACCGTGATTCGCCTATCAATCTCGTCCCTTTTTCGCATCCCATTAAACCCATCAACCTATAGCATCCCACCAACCCATGTAACCACTCACCTGAGATGTTATTCCCACCGTTTGACACCTTCCCCATTTCGACTAGAGCCATGCATGTGATTGTCGGCATTTACCGTACTGACAGCTTTAAGGGTTCTAATGGTCCAGAGCTGAACTGCTAGTGGACTGTTGTGCTATACCTTTGGAAATATGGTATACCTACTTTCCTAATCTGTTGGCTGCCAAGTCACCGTTGGGACGAACTCTATTCCCTATTCACTAGCGCCGGTATTGAGCTGATCAGTTATATCTTGATGCCAGCTCTCAACATGTTCAGCCCATCACGCTCACTTCCAGGCATCGCCTTGTCATTCATTCAACAACTCTCTCGTTTTCCACCATGAGAACCTCGTTCTCGTCCATTCTTTTCAGCCTTTGGCTTCTTTGCCTTGGCGTACTCGCACATGACGAGTCATGCGGTTGCACCGTCAAGTACATTGTCGTTGAGATGCCTAGTCAGACAGTCGCTGCTCAGACCAAGACTCCGACGATTACTTCTGTGCAAACCAAGCCAACTAACATTCGATCTAAGCCCAACCAGACGACTGTTCGTGCATCTTCAACTTCCGCTCATCACAACACAACGGCGACATTCCTTCCTAAGCCTCCCGCAAAGGTTGACTTGAGCAACCCCGAAAATGCGGTTCCCAAGAAGAACATCTCCATGTCTTATGGTGATGTCGAGAAGCCCCGCAACCAGACCTTCCCCGCGCTTAACACGACTGCTCCTAAGGGGGCTATCGACATGGACCTCGTTATGAACCATCCAGCTGTTGTTCTAGATCACATCGAAGCCATTGTCTCGGTCGAATGCACGGTCGATTCAGTCAAGGTCCAGTTCGGAAAGTCTGCTGCTTTCGAGAAGGCCATTGATACTTGGTCAGATGACGAGCCTTTTATTCTCATCACTAACAACATGGGCAATTGCAAGACCGACATTGGCCAAGCTTTCTATCTCGTGGATGGTGTTACTACAGACAAGGGCGACAAGATGATCACTTGCCACGCTGCCGAGCAAGAGCTGGCTGACATCGCGGGTATGGTTCTCCGCAAGAGCATAAGACAAGACTAACATCTTCCAGAAACCTGTGAAATGTCGTTCACCTCCATCCCTGCCACCAAGTTGACGAAGCGCCTTACACTGAACCCCAGTCTTTCTCTCAACTTCGGTACTGGTCTCGAGAGAGATACCGTTCTTTTCCAAGAACAACCATGGGTGACCATCAAGGCCGAGAAGGCAGAGTTCTCTTCCACTGTCTCCTTCTCTGGCCGCGCCAAGTATAACTTCTGGCGTTTCAAGGTACATGGCCCCGAAGAACTAAAAAGTCCGAATGACTAACCTTAGTAGATGGAACATCTTTATTTCGATCTCGATACTCATTTCTCAGCCGATGTCGCCTTGGCCGCCGACGTAGCTGCAGCCTGGTCTCGATCTATCCTCTACGATCCCGATACTCTCACATACACCCTCGTCGAAGTTCCTGGCATCCTCTCTCTCGGACCAGGCCTGGCGTTCGCTGTTGGAGTCGATGTTGATACCTCAGCTGCCGTTGCTGTCAGAGCTGGCGCCGGTATTGCTATCCCTGCCGCAAACGTTCATCTCGATTTCCTCGACTCGGGCAAGAATGCTGCTACTGGCTGGGAGCCTCAGTACACATCTTACGCCAATATTACCGAGAGCGTTGAGGTCGGCTTGAACGCCAGTGCATCGCTTACTGTTCAACTCACCTTCAAGCTTCTCGGTGGTCTGGTCGATCTTAGCAGTGGACTTACGGCCACTCCTGAGTTCGTCAACAAGTTCACTCTGGACGCAGCGCAATCCGCCCATGCTTCGAACGCCGGTGCTGGAGTCAACCTCTTGGATGCCGAGAAGGTGGCTCCTGCCACGACACCTGGCTCGGAAATCGCTGTCGTGAACGAGCCCAAGGACTGTGGTGTTTCTTTTAAGTCCGACTTCATCTTTGATCTGGAGGGCTTTGCGACGAAGTGGTGGAAGGCTAATCTGTATCATGTTGAGGTCCCCATTACAGATGTTTGCTATAATTTCCAGAATTAATACCTTGTGAACAAGGGCCACTTCAGATAGATGGAAATGTTATCCATAGTCTCGTAATTAACATATACCCTTTGTGCGATCAACCTTTAGCCTGATTGTGTTTGCGTTAGGCATCTAGAACAAGTCTGACAACATTACGCCACGTAATCCAGGCATCCAGATAACACTGAACCATAAAAAGGAAACCGGTCGAGACGATGAGATGCATACTAAGAATCTATCTACGATAGAAATTTCTTATAAAAAATGACTGCGCGGGATCCATCTGATCAGGTCCGTCAAAATGTGTCTGCATGGCTCAACACCACGCCATATGCAGCTTCTTCACTCGAAACCTTGGTTGGTGGACAAGCCAACTTCACATATCGCGCTCACCTGATTAACCCACTGAGTGATGGGGCGACTGAGGTTGTTGTCAAGCATGGCGAGCCATATATGGCGCGTCATCCCGCAAATGCCGTCACTGTTAACCGATGCGTGAGTAGATGTATGATTGGAAAGGCTATTGCTGACATTGAGTAGGACGTCGAAGGAGAAATTTTGTCAGAACTATTTGCCAATGCCATAGACGTGGGGCAGTCTGACAGTATCACATATATCGTCCGAACAACAAAGCCTTATGCATACGACGCTGAAACGAAGACCTTGGTCATTGAGTACCTTCGCAATGTCGTAGATCTCAAGACCTATTCCTTGAATCACTTCCCATCGCCGACACCTGAGTACTTACACAAATCTGCCCACGAACTGGGCAAAACATTAGCAATATACATTGCTAAATTTCATGACACGTCAAGAGAGATCGTCCAGAACTCGCGAAAAGACAAGCATACGCAACAGCCGTCAGGTTTCAACAGGGTGATTGATAACAGCAACGAAATGCAGAAGCTGAAACATTGGATTAACTTCGATTGGATGATCGGTCGTGTTGACCAGTTCCCTAAGATTCTGTCCGAAGCAAAGGAAACTCTCCAGCTTGTCAAAAACATGGCACTAAAGGAGCTGAAAGATCCGTCTGCGGACCTAACACTGATTCATGGCGACTATCACCCACAGAAGTGAGTGCAACCCAGCTTTTCGGCCCAAAGGCTAACAGGATTGAAAGCATCCTACTGGAAGATTCCTGTCTTGAAACTGGAACTACCAGAACCCTGTACATTATCGACTGGGAAAACGCACACGTCGGTGTTCCGAGCCTCGATCACGGCGGGATGCTGGGCGAAATGTATGTAATCTGGAAATACAAACACATCGACGCTGGGCTATGGATGTTTCAAGGCTACGCCGAGGGACTTGGAATGCAGTCGGAGGAATCTGCATGGCGAGTGGCCCTTCAAGTAGGCGTGCATCTCTTGAGCTTTGGTACTTTGGCATCGGGTTGGGGTACAACTGACGAGGTTGAAGATATGGCTCGTCTGGCAAAGGATGTCATTGTAAAGGCTTGGGCCAAGGATAGGAATTGGTTTGATCACAGCGAGTTTGCATGCTTGTTTGCAGATACTCCTAAGATTGAAGACTAATCCGTATATTCGGGTTAGCAAGTGTTATCGGTCATGGTAGCTCGAGTGCCTCAATCGATGACCCAATTTTTAAGCCTGGCAGTGACACTAGAATCGCCCAAGATCGTGACATAATCAGTGGATGCTGAAGAAGCTTGTTGCCCACGGCAGTGACCTCCAATGCCGGCATCACTGGATTGCAGGGAAAAGAAACTAGTATGATGCTCAGGACCACGTCTGAGTTGTACAAACAACCCAGTCACGAATGATATGACTCGGTTACAGCTGGGCACTCGTCTACAAGCCAATCATATCGCGATATATACGCGTCGTTAAGAATCTCGATGAGATTGTTAACAATTTCTTGATTTGAGCTGATGCCAAGTCCACCCGCTCGGATAATGCGGCCTCGGCTGACGGCGTTTCAGTATGGAGCCGCAAATCCCCGGTCCAATCAAATACAGTGATCTTCAGAAACTGCAAGGAACAGAGTCGATACAGACAGGTTTAGCCGTTGATTTATTTTATGCTCTGACGTCAAAGACACGGCAAGCAGCATGGGCTTTGGCAACAACATCACCAATGATCTCATATTCTGACTACGTATAAGATAAATAAAATAGCTTTAAACTCAATTACCTTTTTGATCTTCAGAGCATTCAGACTCGTTGTGACCTCTCGTTGAATCACTATGGCTCGTCAAAATACCCTGAGCAAGGCTCTCGTAACCCTGCTGCCTCTCGCTTCAGCAGCTTCCCTCAACTCGGAGTATACCTTCAATCCTCTTCACCATCTCGCTGGTATTGCTCCTTATTTCGAGCCCCAAGATCCTCCCGCTTCTCCCGATGCACCTCAAGGTTGCACCCCCGAGCGCGCTGCCTATTTAGTGCGACACGCTGCCATATACGCCAATGATTTTGACTTTGAGGAGTACATTGAGCCGTTCATTGAGAAGGTTCAGAACAAGACCAAGATCGAGTGGAGCAAGATTCCTTATCTGAACTTTTTGGACGATTGGGAGCCTCCTATTTCCGACGCTGAGGTGTCGCTTTTGACCAACGTAGGAAGACTTGAGGCTACGCGCTTGGGTGTTGATCTGGAGTTCCGATATCCCGAATTCAAGCAGCCCAAGAAGGTCTGGACCTCATCGGCCGAACGAACGGTCAAGTCCGCCCAATCTTTCGTCCGTGGACTTGAGTCAGATGACAAGTCTATCAAGGTCGAGACTATTTACGAGTCAGAAGAGTCTGGTGCCGACAGCTTGACTCCCTACAAAGCTTGCCCCGCTTACTCTGGCTCTACCGGCAGCGACGAGGCTGAAGTGTACCAGAAGAAGTACGCCAAGCCAATCGTTGATCGCTTCAACGCTCTTGCATCCGACTTTAACTTCACCGTCAACGATGTCTTTGGCATGCAACAGCTTTGCGGCTACGAGACTGTTACTCGCGGCAAGTCGCCCTTCTGCAACCTTGAGCTCTTCACTCCTGATGACTGGCTTGGCTGGGAGTACTCTGAGGACGTGCGATATCACTACAACGCTGGATACGGTAACCATATCTCTGGTTACGTCGGAATGCCTTGGCTCAACACTACAGCTAGTCTCCTCCTTAGTGATGATTCCGACGAGGAGCTGTACGTCAGCTTCACCCACCGCGAACTGCCCCCCATGGTCCTCGTCGCTATGGGTCTCTTCAACAACTCCGAGCCTGCCGGCACAGAATCTCAGATCAACGACACCATGCCCTTGAGCAAGATCAACTACCGTCGCGCTTGGAAGAGCTCTCACGTGCTACCTTTCCTCAGCAACATCGCCATCGAGCGCCTCAACTGCACCAACGCCTACGGTTACGAAGATGGAGAGTACTACCGCGTTCTGGTCAACAGTGCGCCCCAGCCTCTACCTTCCTGCGAAGACGGCCCTGGAACAAGCTGTACCCGAAAGGGTTTCGAGGAGTACGTCCAAGACAGAGTCGAAAAGTTTACTGGCTTCTCAGAAAAGTGTGGAGTGGAGTACGATAACTCTACTGACATTCTGTCCATTTACGACAACTAATGATAATCACGATTATGTAACTTTAATTGATATACATTTAATATTTATCACATTATTTGACGGCGTTGCCCCTCATGAACCTTATGGATAGGCGCAAAGTTTTCATTGCCCAGTGAGAGAGAGATTGAGATGCAGCTGCAGAAAGTTTAAGTCGAATACGGCCTGACGTGACCCATCATGAGATCATACTTTGGAGTACCTGAAGTAAAATTGATTGAAATCGTGGCTGCCGTGAGCCCCAAGTGCGGTAGGTTTCTGCTCTTCTAACCACGCCGCGGAGAGAGAGACACTGTAACGCTGTCTTTCCGGTTCTCAGATCTTGCAGCCTTCAAGACACCAGTTGACTTTCTTGTTACTCAACGTACAGGAAAGACATTGTCGTCTTTTTATTCTTTAATCAGTGCTTCTGACAAAATTTGCTCAGGTGTTAAGCTTTCCCAGATCTACCGGTGATGGGCTCTCTAACGAGGTGATTTGTCAGACTTTGTGGCATGAACCTTCTCAGAGGGTCTTAGTTTCAGATTCATGCATCACATATATTTTTATTGGTTCTTCTGCCATTCAAGAGGACTATAAGAAGCTTTGCCACCCCTGCGAGATAAATCAGCTTAATGCAAAGGCCACCGTGCCAACTTCACATCCTCGTCAAACCGGCCATCAACTCACCGCCAAAAAGTCCAGAAACATCACTTCTGACAACAAAAAGTCGCCGCCGATAGCCTAACTTGCGCACACTTCTCACGTATAAATATCGAATTGATCTACCGTTGAGATGGAAAGACACAGCTCTACAGAGACAATCCCGCAAGACCGTGGTTTCACCCTCTTCACTAAACTACCACCCGAGGTACGCCTGACGATATGGGAAGCCGCCTTACCTGAGGAGATACACCCTTTGTCGAGGGTATGCGAGATCTGGGTCTTGAACCAAGGTGACGACGAAATTGCAACCTCCCCCCAAGCGAAAGTCTATATGAACTTCCTACGCTGTTGTCACGAATCTCGTTGCCTGGCTCTGAGGCACGGATGTGCCGCGCCACTCAAGAGCTTTGAATCGGACAATGAACCTCCAAAGCAAGTGTGGATAGGAAATGAGGTCGAGATGGTTTTCCTCCCTTTCGAGCCGCGATATCTCGACAGGCTCATTACTCTCCCACCCAATGTCAAAACGCTCGCTGACACGATCGGTAACACCTACGACCATACACGTGTAGCCACCGTCGGAAAATACATCACTAAATGGCGAGACGAAGGTGCTATTGCTATCGATACACTATACTTTGGTCTTGTGAACGAATTTCCCATGCACGTCTTTCCACCGTTTGGATGATTTGCTGCCGAAGAATTGCTAACACAGTATTTTGCATCCAGTGACTACAAGGAAATCGGAGATGGGATGAGAGTCTGTGTTGATTCACCAAGGTTTGGAGGTGTTCGTATGATATGGCCCAGGAGATCTGTGCCTCGACCGATGCAGACGACAGAGGATATTGGGATCCTGGAGCTAGATGAAGTATTGTGGATGATGAATGGTCAACATGAATTTTTGTAAAGGCGCTTACGGTTCATAGACGCTATTGGAATTCTCGGTGGTGTTTGTTATGTAAAGTCTGAGAAAGAATACATCTTTTTATAATGCCCCTGGCTTCGTATATCACGCTAAAATGCCATAAACCCTTTTCAACAAATCATTCCGTGAGAATGAGAAGGCACTGCAGACAAAAACATCACCCGATAGGGGAAAAGACCTATTCATAGACCATGCAAGAAGAAACCTTTCTGAATATTCGCCGTGAAAATGATAGCCTGCCTCTGTAACCAATAATCCCAAGACTTCATATCTTTACTTTCATGAACGAAACTACAATTGAAACTTGGGATTTGCGGTGACATAGACGATGGGCGTGACATAAGAATACGTTGAAATTACCACTATAAAGGTTTGGAAAAGTAAGGCTGTTTGATTCTTTCAAGTTTGCCTTGATATCACATTTCACAAGGTTTTCGACCTGGCCCAATACCTTCACTTCTTCCATTTCGACCACCTTCTCGAAGGTGGCGTGAGTACAAAGCCAAAATGGACTTAGACCCCTCGATTTCAGTATGCTAGATGTTAAGCATAATCGTGGTTTACAGTAAAGGAACAGCAGAAAGTCAAGTTGACAAGAGATGAAGTTGACTGGAGGGACCACAAGTCTGGGTGCTCTTGGAAGCAATGCTTGAGTTTCTATTGCTGTGATATTGTGCTTGTTGCCTAAAGGATATCAAAGAAGGTTCTGTTTTAGGGCATTGGTCTGAAACGTCTCGCTAGTATTGTATACTCTATCGGAATATCACGAGCAATGGCACAAAAACATGCTCGAAATTCTCTTTGGTCTGGAGATCCCCTGAGACCTATAAATATCTCTCCTCCCCTTGCCTCTCCCTCCCTTTCTTCTTCTCCCTTATCAAACAATTTACATCTCACACACGAACACACACAAAGGTATCTATCTTTCTACCCCTGTCTTCAAACTACCCACAGCCCTTTTTCAACTTCTCATCACAATCGCCAAGATGTGCTGCGGATCTGAGGACGATGTTACTCCCACCCAGGGAACCAGAGAGCAAACCATGACTCCTATTTCTTACGATTATCTCTACGGAGACAAGCCCAAGAGGAACCTTACTCCTAAGAAGTCTGCTTCTCCTGCTCTTGTCCAGCTCCTCAACGAGCGAAGAAGAGCAACTAGGTTCAAAACAGGTTCAGTTCCCCTTGGGGCTGAACTCTGATAACATGCACATTCCTACAGAGGTTTCCCCCAGAGGTGGTCAAGCGTAAATACTTTATTTTTCATTCACCACACTAACACTCAGTCTTTTCAAAAATTCCATCATGCAGACTCACACAGACGCTATGGCTGCAAGACCCGGCAGATGGAAGAGGCGCCGGTCCGTTAAGGTATGGAATACAGTAATGATGGTTTCCTCCCTGTACAAGGCCGAGGTTACTGTCAAGTAGGCCTATGAAACTGAGAACTTTGATTAGATGAGTTTGGAAAGGATCGTTTGGACGGGAACTTGATGTACGCGTCGAGCCCGACGGCCTCGTTGGTCTAGGATCTTGTAGTTACTGGACACTTAATTGAGACCCGACTCACCTAGTCCTTTCACCGCCCTGATGATATCGTGTAACTTTGGTATTCAAACCTTAAAGCTAGATATCAGGACTCTATGGCCAAAGGGTTCTCGTAACACATGAAAACCACGTGGTAAAAGTCTATTACGTCCTTCAAAATTCGCATTGAAAGCTTAAAAGAAAAATGCCAATAAATATCTTGTTATAAGAGAGTAACCCCTCTTCTGGAGGTAGTTCAGTAACTCTTGTCTCATCATCACACAAACGCCTCACCTGGCCCTATCACAGCTCCTTCGCCGTTCTTTACAACAGCTTCTAGCTTCCATTCGCAACACCATACACTCGACTATTACTTCTAGCAATCATGGGCCAATCCATGTCAACTGATTTTGAGAGCTTCAACAAATTACCCAGTGAGCTTCGCCTGATGATTTGGGAAGAAGTTCTTCCTAAGAAAAAAGACGACCATGCAGCCTACAAGATTCTCCGCTCCACCTCCTTTCATGGTTTGCGGTGGGAAAGACCAAAGAACGCAGATGGACCTTTGCCTCTACTGCGTGCGTGCGGCGAGTCTCATGATGTGGCTATGAAAAGCGGATCTTATATGACTGTCGAGAACAAGAGGTTTCGAATGGTCTTGGAAAGATTTCGAGGATCATTCGAAAAGAGATACCATTCGGTTTGGGTTGAAAAGAGCCACACAACTCTGCACGTACCTTTCGCTGCACTGACGTGTAAGCGCATCACCAATTTACCAAGCAACATCCAGGCTGTTGCTTCCACAATGCCTACACGGCGAGGACTCGAAGCCTTGCAACGGTGCCTAACCCAGGATCGCGAGTACATGGGTATAAAAACCGTGTACATAGGGATTGTTGGCATACCCATCCACTACAGCAAAGGCGACGACCCAGACTATTATCCCTGCACGGAATCAGACTCAGCCATTGTCCCACTTGACGACGAGAAGTTGACCACATATCTCGCAACAGCCTACAAAGCCCATGCCTTCCGGGGAATTGGTGATCCCGTGCTTCGCGAGGAAGAATTCTATCGCAAAAGCGCACTGAGGTTTAAGAACAGCCTCGAAAAGGACTGGGAAGATTACCAGCACTTGCGCTCACTGTGGGAGCCTTATAACGGCATCAGCTTAGTCCCGGCTGTTATCTTTGGAACCAAGACCAAAAAGGTAGTGTCGTGGAGTAGCGATATTTACGAGAGTATTGTCGTTAAACTTAAGCTGGGTCACCTCGAGGCCCAGTCTGATCTAGTGTGGATGGATGCTTTTGCCTATGAGAACGGAATCGGCAACGAAAACAACCTAGATGAGCTTACATTTCAAACTGAGTGCCGAACGCTAGCTCACAGGGTGAAGAGTGTAGTCCGAGAGATGCAGTTTTCACCCCACGATTATGAAGGGGCAAGGCGGTGGAGTGTTCCTCCGTGAAGGAGAATTATGAGGCTATGAACGATATACCGGTACTTTTGAAACCTCTCAATCCGAACCTTTAACTGAGGCCTTTATATGTTGAAAACACGGTTCAGCTTATGTATATTTGTTAGAAACTTCTACTTAGATGAAAGACAAGAGATCTTTATGCGTGCTTTCAACCAAATCCCAACCATCATGTTCAGATTCAGACTCTTCTATCCTCTCGTAGTGACTATCCTTCCCTGGCTCTGGGTACTTTCTCACATGTTCTATAGCCCAAATAAGATCTTTGCTCAAGACAGGAGGTATTCTGCCCTCCCCGGACAGTGTTCCCAGCCCTGCGATCTGGAAGAACCCCTCCAACCATCTGAATGTCTCACCAGTCTCCCACTCTATCTCGTGAAACTTTCGTCCTTGCTGTCGACAAAGCTTCTCTCTGTTAATTTCCCATTTCTTTTGTTCTTCCTTCAGAGGAAGAGGAATAGAGTTTCTCCCTGAGAAGAGTCGCGCAAGCGCTATAGCCTGGTATTCGAAGCTTCGGAATGTCAAGACGCGAGGCATACCGACAACTGCCAAATTTGGTATATCTTGAAAGAATGTATGCCAGTAGTTGTTGATAAGCTTTCTATTCTTATAATCGAATAGTGGACGACCGTTGACCTTGCTGTTCCAAAACGGATAAGACGGAAGATATCCTGTACAGTAGAGGATGTGATCAATATCTTTGAGTTCGCTCCCATCATCGAACACGATTGTGCCGTCGAGCTGATACTCTTTGATTACTGTTCTCCACTCCATTCCCAACGGCGGCTCGTTACCATCTAATCTTCCTCGAGATCGTCGTGACTGGTAGAGCGGTTGGTGGACAGACTGGAGAAGATCCACTGCTATATCATGACCAGAAGCTGAGTTTCCAATTACCAGGACTCTTTTATTGACGTATATCCAAGGTGAGCGATAGAATTTGGAGTGTATCACTCTACCAGGGAATTTCTCCATGTAAGCCTCCAAGCCTTGGACATGCGGAACCTAGTCGCAACCGTCAGCACGCAATTGCTTTGCCTAAGTTCAAAATACTTACCCATGGAATGGCATAGTGCCCGTTGGCCAGTATCACTGCGTCGAAGTCTTCTTGCCACCATACATCAACGTGGCGTAGAGGGTCATATCTGCGCAATGTCAATCTCCATGACTTCAGTCCTCCTTTTGTAGCGGCAGGTAACTGGGAGATATCTTCTACTGTAGTATTCAGAGATAAATATTCGTCAGTCTTGTGGGTCGAGAAGTATGTTTCTATGTATTGGCGAGGAACGTAATGAGGAACGAAAGGCCCATACGAAAACGGCTGATCCGAGAAGGACATCGCGATTTGAGGCACATTAGTTCTGTTCATTGTTAACACCTTAGGATTTAGATCATTGTGTGAGCGACTTGCGTGAGATTCTGGTAGATAGGTGTATCGGCGTATCTTTCCTGCTGATCTGGGGGCCTCGTGGTCGGCAGGTTTTGTGGAATCGCGAGTGGCTTATCAATATCCGCTGGGAAGCCTCCAGGCTGGATAGGAGCGACCTTGGGATCCGCATCGTAAATCCTAATATTAGTGAGTTTCAAATCTTTGCTTCTGGTTTACTCTATCCTTACCAAGTGCCTCCGGGTGTTTCTCTGCGTTCAAATACTCGGATACGGTCGAAGTAATTCTCTGCCTTCAGAGCTGCTGCCGAGATAGCGCCTGGCAAAAGAATATATGATCAGCACTTCAATAGATCATCAAGCGGGGTGAGAGCGTTAAGAATTACCGGCAGCTCCGGCTCCAACGACCGCAACAGACTTTATCTTGTAGTCTCCCATAATGAACTTCTCAAACCGATAAAAATTACTATTGTAAGATGGATCAATATTCAGAATCTATTAAACGGAGGTGAATATTGTCAAATTCATATTCCTTATCGCAACACGCCATATGCTGAGATCATTCATCATATTCGTCATGTACAACAAGTATGTCACCATCAGGCATCACGTGAATCACCGCTCACAATGCAACGTCTGATACCATAGTAGATGACATAAGGCTTAAGAAAATACAATAAGAAAAGCAGTATTAATTACATCATTCTCCTCCCTCTTCATCTGATCACTGAGGCTTTGGGGTCGACTTTTCCTCTTTCAGCTTTCGCTCCAACACGTCTATACCACCAAGTTGCTTAACAGTCGAATCGAAGGTGCCCGTCGGAAATAAAGACCCTAGGCGAGCCAAACCAGCACTGCCGCCTCGAAAGATCAGATAAGGTGGTTTGCGTTGGCTCAGATCTCCAGCGACCTGTTTTGCCCATGTCGTCGCGTCAGGTTTGTTCATCCCTGCTTCATTGCCGTTCATGGAAGATTCAATAGCCTCCTTGGCGACGTTGTATATCGAGTCCTTGGGAAGCTCAGCGTCAGGTGAATTGTTGTGAAAAGTGGACTTGACGCCACCAGTGAAGAGGTTTATAGCCCGAATGCCAAATGGAGCAAGCTCAACTCTCAGACTCTCGGTCAGACTGGCTGCAGCGGCTTTGGATGCTGCATAAGTGCCCTGAAACGGAATACCAGCTCCAAGAAGACCAGATGCAGAGGTATTGTTGATAATTAAAGCGCCGTGAGTAGACTTGAGAAGCAGGGAAACAAAAGCTTGGGTGACTCTGATAATAGAGAAGACATTGAGTTCAAAAAGTCCATGGCTCTTGGCGATGTCCACATGCAGGAGAGGCATGCTGTAGCCGCTGCCAGCATTGTTGAGTAAAGCGTCCAGTGAGCCGCCAGTGAGTTGCTTGACTGTCTCAACGGCTGCTGAGACGGAATCATCCGAGCCAACATCCATTTCGATGCATTCGAGCCCGGCTTCCTTGACCTTACTCAACTTTGCTAGGTTACGTCCTGAAGGGAAGACACGCCATCCATGATCTTTCATTGCCAGTGCCAGGGCAGAGCCAAGACTGCCATCTGAACAGCCTGTTATTAAGATAGTGCGCTTGTGAGACATGGTAGAGATTTTTGTGTTACGCGATTCTCAAGTCAGAGGGTATTGACGAAACGAAGAAAGAGTTGATAATAACTAGTGAAACTGGTGTAATCGGCTGGAATCTATATATATTTACTCGAAAGACTTCCACTTCCCTTCACGTCCTGTGATAGATTTCGACTGTTTCGCACTCGCATAACACGGCCAATCAGTCGCACCGCTTCCAATGGTTGGTCATCATTTCTAGGCGTCAGCGAACTTTTTCACGCGTTGTGATTGGATCTATGAAAGCCTGATCTCCTATCCGGGATATTTATTCCTAAACATTCTCCGAACTTTTTTGTGTCAAATGATTGGGCATACAAGTTTCTGGGAGCTATTGCAGGAAATAGAACAAGATAAATAAGCAGATATGGGTCGTTAGTATTGATTACGTTGAAGCATACGGGTACAAAGATCTGATCACTGGAGGTGGCATCATGAGAAGCTTTATGCTTAGCCAGAAACCTAATTGAGAAAGCACACAATCCGAAAGTCTTTTTTATATGATCTATGGTGTATCTTTCCAACCATTGAACTGATATCGAGTCGCTACTTTCCATGACGTGCCGTTCCTCCTCAATCATTGTCGGGGCAATGGTTGCTCCGACTCCAGGCTCAACGACTCTAGGGTGCCGGAGTTGCGGAGTTTCAGGCCAGCTGCCTCTGAGACAAAGCAGTTGCAAAACTAGTACCCAATTACTTTCTACCCATCGCGTGCTCGATCTCTTTGAGCGCAGCAAGGACCTTCTCATCGTATTGTCTTCGGCCAACAATTTGTAGGTTGATGGGCATATTGGCGTATTTCTCGGGGTTATACAGGTCATAGTTGAACTTGTCTTCGTCGTTCTTGGGGACGTAGTTTAGATCCTTGGGGTCCTTCTCGGGGTCGACTGTTGTTACTGGGAAGACTGCAGCGGGACTGGAGTTCATCGTTAGCGGAGTTTGGCGGAATATTATGAGGGAAACTTACTAATCAAGCAGATTCCAGTGTGAAGTGTAGCCCCAGTACCGTGATTGATCATGAGGTGCTGCTGCTCCAGGGAATGGCGGGCACAGAATCACGTCAACCTCTCTTCCGTCGTTCTTGCTTGTGTATGACCAAGCTCGAGCATATGCTGCCCGATAATCATCGCGCTTAGTACATAGCTGGCAAAATGTCAGTACTGTTCTGCCAAAAGTACCCAAGTGAACTTACCTCCCAAAGCTCATGCATCGTCAAATCTTTGACGCTGGGCTGCTCCTGAATAATGAACTTCGTTAAAGGAAGAACAGGCTCTCCAGCGGCTTCCATAAGCTCAAGAGCCTCCTTGCCTCCATCGGGCCAGTACAATGCTGATAGAATCTCCCAACCCTTCTTATGATCCAGTGGTTCGCAGTCCCAGTCCACAACTTCCATGCCTGCTTTACGGCAAGCTTCCGCAACCTCCTTCAGAGCTCTTGTCATGGGAGGATGGGGCTGAACAACGCCGTCCCACCACTGAACCGCTACCTTGAGAGGTCTGTCGAATTTGAAAGGAGTCCACGGTTTGGCCGTGAGGGAAGGATCGATAAGCCATGGCTTCTTCGAAAGGGCAATTTCCATAAAGAGTTCGAGGGACTCGCGGTCGACTGTCATGGGTCCAGGTGTTGAGGAAACGGTCTCTTTGCCAACCATGATGGATCGTGCGCCCATGACTGAGATTCGCTTCAGAGTTGGCCTGGTGAGGTTTAGTAAGGATTTCTCAGATCACGCTTTCATAATAACTCACTTGAAGGCATAGATTCCGTTGTGAGCAGCTGGGCAACGGACACTGCCACCAATATCACCACCGACGCCCTATTCCTGTCAGTCTAGAGCTCAGATCACAGACAAAAGTGCACTAACCAGGATACTCCCACGGAAGCCGAGTAAAGCTCCCTCACCACCACTGCTGCCACCAGCCGTCAAATCACGGTTGTAGGGGTTGACTGTTCGTCCATAGATATTGCTAATGGTCTCAAGATGCATGATAGTCTGGGGCTGAGTCGTTCTCACGTAGAAGACGCAGCCTTCGTCGTACAAGTGGTCATAAAGAAGGTTGGAGCCATGAGCTTTGCCAATCCATGCAACGAATGAGGCGTGAGTCGAGACATTCTCACCGACCATTCCGTGATGCTCCTTGGTGGAAATGGGAAGACCGAAGAGCTTTCCCTTGGGTTCCGGTAGTGAGTCGAGATACTTGGCTCGCTCGATGGCTTGATCCCACATAAGTTCGACCAAGCAGTTGGTCTGTTAAGTCATCAGAATCATGTCCTGGGGTAAGTCGTTCATAACTTACAGCAACTTGAGCCAGTGCAGCTCTCCGCAAGAATGCACGTGTCACCTCCTCGACCTTGATCTCTCGCTTACGGAGAACATCGAGCAGCTCAATGACTGAGTACTTCTCTGTAATCTCAATCTCACGTGCAGTCAAGACACCTTGAGGAAGGCTTTGAGAGTTGAGAGGAAGCTCATCAGGGACGCCCTGTAGCTTTGGTTCGACCTTGCCAAGGCCGATATCGCGCTGTTGTAAGGCAGCTGATACTGTTTCTTTATAAGTTGCCATGGTGTCTAAGTTGATCTACCAGTGGTCAGTGGTGTTGTTGATCAACGGTGCTAGGGAAAGGGGAACATACTATATTTTGTAAGATTAAAGAACAAAGTTGGAAGAAAGAAGGGACAAGTTAAAAGAATGTCAACTGATTACATTCCCCAAGTCATTCAAGTCATGTGGGGTTGGGGTCAGTATCGCCCGTCGGCTTATCCTATGCCGCTATTGGCAGGCCGAGCCGACGATATCCAACCGCTAAACCCCGCATTTGAGCGCCCTTTTCATTGTCAACTTGTCATATCAAATGATAGCCCAAGTTACAATGCATTCAACAGATTTAGATAACGCGGAATTGGTTGAGGCGTAAGATCCTAAGGTGGGGTAGTACCGGGACCCGAGATTGCCGGTGATAAAGAAGCGACACGGCTCCGAGTTTATCGGGCTTCGAGAGCTCGGATAATCTTTCTAGAAAGGGAAATCGTTCCAATATACGCCGGATCAAATCACAACCTTCAAATAGTTATTTATCTCGACAGCTCTTTATTATCCATATCCATCATGGACATCACCATTTCCGCGTTGTTTGGTTGATGGTACCTTTTACCCATGCGGAAGTCAACCACGCAGTTCGCCGTCGGCCGATTTATTCGCAGATCAAAAGACAGTTTCATCATGTGGCCTTCAACCAAAGGTTCAGCAGAAGGTCTAGACCTGCCGCTATGTAAGCCATGATAGCTTCATCCCTGCACGGGGATCTTCGCCCAGCCGTGCCAAGAACTGATCCAAACATGAACATCCAAGATGGACGGTCTGAGCTCCGCCGTCCATATTCTATTCATCATTGACACGTCTATCAAAGTGATCAAATGGTGTTACGACTATGCCGACGAGTTCAAGCACTACAAGGAGGAGCGCGAAAGGCTGCTCCGGGCTGTTTCAGGCCTGAAGTTAGTGGCTGAGAAAGTCAAACAAATTATCAAGACACCCAGAGGAGAAAGGCTTGAGGCCTCACGAGAGTTTCAGAACACGACAGGTGATGGGAACAAATTCCTGAAAAACCTCGAGGACAAGCTTTGCAAAAGCGGCAAGGTAAACAGATTTCTCTTGCCACTGAAGAAACAAGGTGTTGAGGAGGATATACAAGCGATTGAGAAGTGCACGCAGATTATTCACCAGGTACTCCAAATCGATATTGCGTAAGTGCATTCACCTAGGACTCCTCGCGATATCATATCTAAAACATTGCTAGCGATATTTTTCTCGATGTAAACCTTCAAGCAAAGCTCGCGCAACGTAGAGCAGCGATAGAAAGCCTGCTCCTGGCCGAGGGTGCGGCGTTCGACTCACAGGCCGAGCAGCATAATTCTGGCTGCTTGAAGAACACACGCGTGGCGCTCCTCGCTCAGATAGCAGCATGGATCGAAGACGAAAACGCAAAGACCATCTTCTAGCTGAATGGCATGGCTGGAACTGGCAAATCGACGATATCACGGACAGTCGCCGCCTCAGCTCAGGGGAGGGATAAGCTTGGAGCAACCTTCTTCTTCAAGCAAGGTGAGACCGATCGTGGAAGCTTGACTAAATCCTTCACCACGTTGGCTCGCCATTTGGCTGCTAATCAACCAGCGTATACCGCGCGGACCAAACCATCCGGTTATGGGATTGGAAGAAGGGAGTTGACGAGTCAAACCTCCATCATGATTTCGGGAAAGTAGTCTCTCTCCGGATCTCGCCTAACGGCACGTGGGTTGCTACGCTCAGTGCAGACAAAAAGGTTCGTATCTGGAGTACATGGACAAGCGTTTGTCTGCGAGAACTCGACTGGGGAAAGTATCTTTACCCTGAGTATCCCTTGCAAAGTTCACCAATCCAATTCTTCTCTCATGATTCCACCATGGTCGGTCTGAGTCCAGTACCCCAGACATCTCGAATATGGAACATCAAGACTGGCAAAGAGGTTTTGATTATGGATGCATGCAATCCTGCGCAATTTGTTTATTTGTTTCCATCTTCTGACTCCCAGAGAGTTGCAGTCGTTCCTCAGGGGAATGAAGCTTTCTGTATCTGGCATATGAAGGAGGGAGAGTTTATACTTCCACAAGCTTTATCAACTCCGGGGTACGAGGCTCTCAAGCTAGTGTTCACGCCGGACCTGAACAAGCTGGTGGCCTCTTTACTCGATGTTCATGGGACAGAAACATGTGTCTGGGCCTGGGATCTGACGACTGAGAAACGTCTTTGGACAAAGTCACTCCCTGGTTTCGGGAGGCCTGTTGACAAGTCACCACTTGCTATTTCATCTGATGGCTTCTGTACAGCAGCCATTTTAGGAGAGAATCTTCAGATCTGGCAAACAGAAACGGGTAACATACTGCGGGATATCTCTATCTCCAGACTTGCTGGAAGTATATGTTTGGAACTGACGCTGACCCGACATTGTGTAAGCCTTTTGTTCTCTGGAGAAGTCCAGATTTGGGAATGGCAAAGCAAAAGGCGTACTCAGAAGATCTCGGGAATAGGAGCTGGATCACGGAATCTTCACATTCTTGGCATTGATGAAGCTATCCAAACAAATATGGGAGAAGCTCCGCTCCCCGCAGAATGGAGCTTGGGTCCTTTTGCTATCGAAACCCCATTTTATCCAGAGTTATTTTTTGATGTCAAGACATGCTGGATTCAGTACTGGGGGAAAGATCTTGTTAGGTTACCTGCCGAGTGTCGGGATAGTATCCACGAGGTACATGGGTTCACGTTGGCTGTAGGATGCCAGACAGGCAGGGTCCTGATCATTGGATTTGACAAGGGAGAAGTTGAGAGGTCTATTAGGACACCAAAGCAAGAACCACCTCCGAAAAGGACTACATGCTATGGGACTTATCGGTCTTTCGGGTCATCCCCAACTAGCCCTGCCGGATCTTGGAGTGATGGATGGAGTTCTTGAATGGGCAAGTTTCAGGTTTTCAGTTATCATCAAAAATGCTATTATTCCAAGAATGCCTGGTTATTGGCATACGTACATAGCCGTCTCTAGTGAATGAAAGGTCACTGCCTCAGAACAACCCAAACCAATATCTTAAGCTTCGTCCCACCAAGTAAAGAAAGGGAACATGGCCTATTCAGGAACATCAGACTTTTACTCAAAGTCAGTCATGAGAAATCACATTTCTTCTAGACTCTCAAAACCCGTTTCCTCTGGCGAGTGACTTTGTCAAAAGACTTTGGTCTGCTTCAGTTCGTATACCCTGCTGAGCAGCTCTCTTGGAGTTCTCAGCGCCAAAAGCAATGGCCTTGGCAATCTCAGGGGAGACAGAAGGTAGTATCTGCTTCTTCTCGTTGGTCTCAGACAACCTGGTCTCCATGTTTCTTACAGTCTTGGGTTGTCCCTGTAGGCATGTCAGCTTCATGGAAAGAACAGGGTTTTCAGGTTGCTCCTTACATCTTTCGCTCTCCTCAAAATCTCATCAATCGCCCTCTTGGAGAATTCTTGGAGCTCGTTTGCTTTTCTACTGGTCATTCTCGAATCTTCCCCTCTACCCCCGAAAGATGAAAGTTCATCGACCAAACGCAGCATTGGGAAGAGACTCATTGGCGATATCCGAGCCCACATAGAAGCGTAGTCGCCAAAGGTAGAGAAGTAGGATCGGATGATAGTGGTGCTGTTGAAGACAGACTGGATGAATAGTTAGCAGAGTTCGCCGCATATAATAGCGCACTTACACTTCGTTGAAAGTCCAGCATCGAATACGGCCCGATCCTGTCTCCATCATTGCCGGCCTTGATATTATCAACATACGGGTTGACATACTTTTCCGCGACGAATCGAACGACCACCGAGATAGCGTTGAAGAATCGCACAAGATTCACGATCTCAGTCTTGATCTTCAACATCGTCGCGATAGCCTGGACCAGAATGGCCTTGATCGCGTGCTAAGAGTAAATGTTAGCCAACAGTTCGCATACTGGTATCGCTGACTCGAATACATACCATCTCCAGGCTAGAGTTCTTCAGGCGCTCCAGCTTGGCGTTGACCTGATTCAGTTTCTCTTGCTGCTCAACAAGAATTCCAGTGGAGTTTTGGTAGGTCTCTCGGGTTGCAGCCAGTGCTTCAGACGCAGTGTGTAGCCTAGTCGTAGCTGATTCGACGACTGCCTGGGCTTGGGCGGTCTTGGCTTGAACTTGTGCCATTTCGGTATCTGGGTTACCGCGTTGGCTTGGCACGATGCTCTGTTAGACTGTCAGTAATTGTCAATCGAGAGTTGGTCGAGGAGACGTACCCCGTTCGCAGTCGATCCCAGGAAAGACTTGGCGGTAGCGTTCAGTGTGACCACGGTCGCATAGTTACCAAGGAAGTCCCTCTGCCAAGATCTGACCGTCTCGGAGTCCTTGTTAGGTGCAGTGTATCCCATAGACTTGCTAGCTTGCTCTAATTCGTCCACAATTCCGTTTGCAATCTAAAACGAGTCAGCATGAAGCTGTGCGACATGAGAGTGACCTTACCCTGCAAACGGAATCCAATGCGGACTTGTACTGCTGACTAGGCTCTGAACCAGAGGCCAGAGAACCGAACGCTTTTTGCGAATGGGCGAGCATCTTCGCCGCGAATGTCGCAGCCTGACCAGCCTTGTCCCAAGCAATACCGTCATTAGTGCCAATAAATGCAGTGCTGAGTAGCTCCCAATAGATCAAGTCACGCACGACCTGATTGTAAGCAGGGTCTCCTGCATCCTTGGGCTTACTTGCAGTTGGAGTAGGCATGGTCTGGTTCATAGCGGTGGTCAAACTGTCTGCCAGCTTTTCGACAACCTGCCGACCAACGATATCCCAACTAAGACATTAGCTGAAGTTTTTCAAAGTTAGACGTTCCCAATACTCACTCCTTGGGGAATCCATCAGAAGCTCTTTTGAATGCCTCAGTTGCTGCTTCCAAGGATTTCTCCCATTGAGTGGTAGCAATCTGCTGCTTGTAGTCAATTGACGTCACAGCAACAGCTAACTCGATATCCTTCAAGACTTGCTGGTCTTCTGAAGTTGGTTCTGCTTCGACACAGGCCCGATGGAGCTCACAGGCATGGTTCATCCAGTCTTTAAACTTGCCGTCAATTTCCTTGGAGGAATCCAAGCAGTCCAAGGATGCATAGTTCCAAGATTCCATCTCTCGTCGTAGCAGCATTCTGGCACCTTGAGGGTTGGAAACGGTTTCAAAGATATTATGAAACTAGGAAAGTCAGAAAGACGAATCACCAATGCTATCCATACTTACTGTTCCATAGAATTTCTCAGAAACCATATGCATCCTGCCCATCTGTTTCTCGGTCTCGAGGAAAACAAATCGACCCAAGTCGACGCACTTCGAGAGGTTGTTCTCGAGCTTGAATCTCCCAGCAGAGTCACCGAACCGAGTTAGTTTATCGTCCCAAGCCATATACTATGAGACGCGCAACATACCATAGGTACAGAAACCCTTTTTGGGGAGGTGTAAAAGTGGTGTCAGCCTTCTTAGAGCCAATAGCGACAACACAAGCACCGAGGGCATTCAGCGCCACGGGAGCTGGCATGAGAACGTTTTCCCATCGGTAGTTGGAAGATAAACAGCCCTTTGACTCTCCAGACAGACGATTGACTACATCGAAGTCCTCTCTCTTCGTGAGGATTTCGACTTGCCGTTGATTGAGGGCCATTTTGATACGAGATGGCTTTGTATAATGAGTCTAGCAAGCTTGAATGGTTTTGGATAGACAATGGGAAGGTATAGGAAAGTAAGGTGGCAAGGTTGGGATTAGCAATGAGATAGGACAAGAAGAAGTCTTTATACTTGTTATAGAAGTCGGCCGTGAAGACGTATGGGCAACAACAGATATTCTGTACTCATATCTCTCCCATGTAAGGTCGATAGTTCTGGGCCGCGCACTGCTGTATATGCAGAGACCTTCTAGACCCTTCCCTTCGCCTGTCCCAGTCTTGTACCTCTCGTTTTCTTTAGAATCAGCTATGAACGATTGAAAGACCCCTCGTATTCCGTTCAATCACTAGACTTCTCAGCTACCAAAGATCCCCGCGCCAAGAGAGTCTATGCATAAGGCTGGCTGAGATCCGGATGTTGAGCCATTCTTGGCCGGTGTGGCTCGCTGAACTTCCGAAAAAGGATATTTGCATCAATTCGGCGACCTGAGTCTGCAATTGGAGCCTGGAGTGTGCAAATGAGGAGCTGAAGAGCCAGCATTGATCCATTTGGGTGTATCCCGCTAACCTTGGCGGGGATGCTAGTTCGTGCTATCAATCAATAGTCTTGCCCACGACTCCACATTGAGTTAACTTGTCGCAGGGCTGCACGAAAACGAACCATTGTCTCGTCAGCTGATTGATAGACCTTGAAATAATCAGCCGCAGGAAGTACGAAGCTATGATATGCAGCTTGTGAAGCGTTCGTGACGAGTGGAAATCTGTTTTGGCTGGCTGATGTGAAACTAGTAGCCAATATATTGAGCAGCGGATCCCAAGCCAGTTCTGGAAGTTGGAAGTAAATGTGCTGCTAGTAGAAAAGATCGGTCGATACGAGTCTGGAACTCTCATAAACGACTCTGATAGGATGAGACGTTGAGTCTCAAATGCGGAGTTGGCGAATATCGTCGTAATTCGTGGTCAGCTCCCTCTCTTCGTTTGCGCATATGGTCTTGATTGAATAAGCTGGTTGCCTCAATGTAGTTGCGAGCATAATCATAAAGCTCTATTGCATCCTCAAGCTATTCTCCTATCCCTTTTCTCAACTCATCGCTCTTATACAGGTCTCATTATTTACCCAATTATCTCAAACTCTTCAGTAACATGGCATTTGCATCACCTTGGGAATCCATGCTGGCTCAGGCTGGCCTTGGTGGCCTTCAGTTTGCTCAAGCCATACCTGCATTGCAAGCGAACGCAGTCTTCGCAGCGGCTGGGGGGCCCTTCCAAGACTTGACTCGAAGGCTTGAAATCTTCAAGCAGAAGGTCGCCGCTCAGGATGCCTTGCTCCATTCTGGTGTTAAGGAGCACCTGTCCATGGCCATCAATCGCCTGGAGGTAGCACTCCTTCAGCTGTACAAGTTTGCCGTCTTCATTCGTGGAGACATTAACGGTGATGATGTACAAAAGATGGCTATTCTTGAGCAGTGCTCTCGATCGTTTGCAGACTGTCAAGCCGCCTCCCAGGCCGGATTTGATCAAGTCAAAAGTATCTACACGCAGGTAAGTAACCTGAATCTAGTATTTGTTGATCAGTAATAATCCTAATAGGCCACTTCTTTACGCACGGATGAGCTCCAGCAACTCCAGCGAGAAGTTGAGCGTGCGTTGGAACAAATAAAGATGGAATGGGAGAACAGCCGTCGTCAGACTGAACAATATCAACATGATATTGATATCTGGCGTCGTCAGCTAGATGAGGCTACAGATGCCCTCTCGCGAGCAAACGAAGAAAGAGAATTCATGGGTGGGCAGATGGGAAACCCCTTTGCAGTAAGAGTGACGAGTCTCTCATGCTAGCTAAGACTAACTTGAGATGTAGTGGCTTGGGCCTGCAATGGGTGACATAGGGGGCAACATGCAGAGGGTCCAAGAAGCTCGAGAGAGAATAAACACAGCGCAGTACCAGATCAACAATGCTCAGCACTCATTCATGCAGGCCATGAATCAGCAGAACGACCTTAACATCCAGCGTGCCGCTAGTGAGCAGATTGTTCAGCAGCTCCCTGTACTCCAGGTCATGACCGAGGACCTTAACAAGCAAGCTGCATTGCTCTTGAGCGGATTTACTGAGCTCAAGGAGAAGTCAACACAATTGTCACTCCTCATGAGCGATATGAAGAACGGGGCTAAGGATTCAGATGCGCAATCGTGGGATAAGGATAGGTTTGCTGAGGGCATTCTCAGACTTTGCCAGATGGCACTCATCGATGGACGTGTTTGCAATGAAGTCGAGACCATCACCAGTGAGATTTCTAGCGGATACTCTGGCCAAGATGTGCCCGATTGTGTTTCAGCTCTCTTGACTGAAGTTGGACAGGCTGCTAGGGATGTTGCTCAGAAATCCATCACTGGTTAGCTGGGAGTCGAAGCTATGGCTAGCATGCACGTCGTTAACTAATTGACCTGAACAAACTCAAGGGACACTACATCTTTGCAGCAGTTACACGAGCCCATTCCACCATTTGTAGAGCGCTCTTGTGCTTGACAAGCCTACTAATTTGGAACCATGACCTTGACAAAAAGTAGGCCCCATGCTGGCCATTCTCGAGACAGGCTTTGGCCATCACGTATAGACTCGTCTGCTGGGCGTCTCAAGCACATACGACCATACCTACTAGAAAATACGGGATCCCGTCCGCTCTCCCATAGTCAAGCTGGTAAGGGGCAGATTAGTAGTTGGGTCGGTGACGACCAGCGAATCCCTGCTGTTGTATGTTTTGTTTTTTTTGCAAAATCTCCCTAGAAATGTCAATATTGTCTTGTTTTTATCGCTTGTTGTGTGGCACATGTATCGTCGGTGGTTGGTCAGCTGGCTGGGTGAGGAAGCTGTTCACATAAGGTATACCCTGGATACCTGGGGCCGCTACTCTTGCTGTCGTGGAAGCCCTTACGAAGAACCTATATCTTAGATACGGAATAACGAGTTCTTTCTTACTTGTATCTGCTGCTCAAAAGTTCAATCTCGCCTAGAGACGGGACATTGGTGAGGAACTGATATCAAACCCTGCGGGCCAGGCAAGGCATACACGGTGCCTCGGAACGCAGCGATATTAACAAATGGCTTTGCTTGAGGTGAAGTTTGCAGATTTTACAACACCCTCTATTTTGGCTATGACCTGACAAACTAAAGGCGTAAGCTGAGACCCAACCAACACCAATAACGACATATGTTGCATAATGAAGCCAACAGCCCATTCCCAGTTCCCCACGAGTCATCTCAACCTGTTTCAATCTTCTGCTCATTAAAACGGCCTATACAATGGTACTATCACATTGACCATGGCAATTACTGATCTGCTATTCAACCTTGATACTATATGCGTGTGCATGATGTTATGGCTGTTGGTAGCAAAGATAGTTAACAAGTACCGATGGGGCCGAGATAACCGTGCCGTAGTATCCGAATTCACAACCAACACGAACAAAATCAGCTCAGATATGCAACTAACCAGTCGCTGCCTAAATCAAGATCTGCGCCTGAATCATTCTTAACAAGTTCGAACCTTCACGTTTAAAGCATTCTCTCGACAGAGCAGTCAAAATCTGTGTGCATCATCCCTTTGTGCAACTTAAGTCTGCAAATAAAATGGTCGTTACCTTCCTCAAAGCCCTCTTAGTCCTGGCTTTCGGCAGCAGCTTAAGCTCGGCCGACACCTTCAAGTATGGCGACAGGGACGGGAACTTATTCCTAGATGTTTCGATATGCGAAGCTCAAAGCAATCGCCCCGAATGGGGACTCGTCGAGCCTTGGACGAGCGACTATGTTGCTGCCCTTCAAGAGAATAGATACGGCGACGCTATATGGGCCCGCTATCAGATGTTCGGCGGTACTTCGAATGGCACCCATCTAGAGTATCCGCAATGGACAGTCCGCGAGGCGATCGAGGAAGACGCCATTGGATATAGACTTCATGCGCGAGACAATTGGAAATACGCCATTACTGTCTACGCCAAGTCAAGTAGGAATACACAGAGTGATATACTTGACCTCATGTTTGACGTCGACCGCAGGAGCTACTATCGGCTATGTAAGCTTGGAAGACTTCTCAGTCGATACGTCTTGAGCTGACAAGGTGTATAGTTAAAGATCAAGCTCGATTACATAAACGTTTTCAAGAAGGTGAACACGTCCTTCCAGATTGCGACTGCAAGGAGACTGCTCAGGACGCTGTTGACTCTTTTGTGGAGGGTAACTACCCGGTTTGATTCAGCTTTGCTTCGAGACGCGAAGCATCATGAAAGGACTTGGAAATTTACATTTCGGTCTTTCTGTTCAGATTTCGCTCTTTGCTATGCTTCAACGATGATGGGAATTTATATATACGCCCCAGACCAGGCTGGCAGCTTGTTCAAACAGCTACTTAGTCATAACCATCGAAGGCATTCATGCACATTCCCCAGGTGTAGCCTCCAACTTCTCCAGTTGGTGATTCGTTCCATTTTGAGGTGATGCATGTCTTGAAAGGTCTCAAGCCAGACGTAAGTACTGTCGAGTCTAGATCTACCGGGTATAACATGGCTCAAGAAGTACGACGGATCTATTGGTGCAGACCTGAGTATAAAGGATAAATCTCTAGAGCCTATTTTAGAGTTGCGATTTATCCGGTGATACTGGAGCTGAGCTTATCCAGAGGCATGGTGCCATTTGTTTATGCAGCGCATATGACTACTATTTCAGGCAAGGTTCCAGAATTTCGATATTTTGTCTTATGACACCGGCCTGTTGGTCACACCATTCAAGGCAGGGGTTATGATTATCCAGAAATCTGGTCGGAAACAACCCATGCCCTCATTGAAGAAATATCATTCGTTGGATCTATTGCAGATCTTACGATACAACGACAGTTCATATTCGAATCATCAAGCCAAAGGTTTTATAGCGTATATCGTAAATTCATTTTTGATTATTTATCATAAGAAGCTGATTCGCCGTGGCACATACGTCTAAAACCAATGACGCCCTCTACCTATCTCCAAACCTTAAAATGTTGGGTCCTCCTCCTTGATGGGCTTCAAATCACCCTGACCCTTGAACACCTCTAGAATCTTAGCCTGCTCTGTCAAAATGAATCTGTCAGTCTGTTTTCCAATGTTGGCCAACTCCTTCCACCTGTTGAAATCGGTTGGGTTTCTCTTATCACCATGCGCCTCCTCAGCATGTTCCCAATGCCCCTTTGAAAAGCCTAACATGCCGCTGATAGTCTTGTTGGTGATGTCGTAAACAAGCGAAACAATGGTTCCAGTCTCTTCGAGCCAATTGATCTGCCATAGCTCTCCTGGTCGAACGCATTGGTATGCTACGGTTTGGTAGTTGATACGGCCGGCCATTGGGCCACCGTGGATGGCGTAGACGACTCGATCGTCGGAGAAGAACCAGATTTCATAACGCCATTTCTCTGGGTTTCCTTCTGCGTCTGTGGCGTCGTAGTCGTAGATAAGATGAGTGTTGAGGATATCCTTCTCAAAGGTAGGATGAAGGGGAGTGTTTGTCTGATATCGTGGCAGAGACATAATGAATATTAAAGGCTTTTTGATATAAATTCTAAGATTTTAGAGTAATTACAGGAGCCAATGTGGGACATCCCAAGACCGCTGCCAAGTATTTATACGCTGCGAGATCGCCTCGCTTAAGTGGCTTGATCTCTAGGTACGACGGAATGCAATCGTAACATCATCCATCCTCTCGGGAAACGCGGACAGTAAGTTCCCACTAAAAGCGTCAAATGGATCAATAGGAAACATGGATCAGTTTGCTAACGTGTATATCCGAGAATCGATCTCAAGACAAGATCCATTGTATACTCAATTGATATCGTATGATGTCACCACGGGACTAGCTAAAGCATCCACAAAGCCACCGCAGATTCCGCCATCGACCTCGGTCTAATGATATCGGCAGTGGGAGTCGGTAGCACAGAACATCCTCATAATTTGGCGGTGTGCACCTTACTCAACGTCTTGTACAAGGCGGAACGTTACCCATGGCCAGAGATATTTCTTCTGCCACCAGTTCAAGCTGCGAATATTAGCGGGCTCGTAGCACTTCAGTATCACGCAACTCACAAGCTCTTTCGACCTGCAATACGAGGATGCAGGGCCCAACTTCCTCCAACCACGGCCAAGTGTTTCTGGTCCATAAATTCGGCTGGAGAACTATGTCAGAACAGAACGACATAGAAACCTCTTGACAAGGGATCGACAAAACTCACCACTTTATCCGGGATAGATATCCATGGGCTTGAATCCAGGTTGCGGCGCGAATAAAGTTCTTGTCCACTCAGCCGCACCTCCAGTGTCACCCAGTCCGCAAAGATCATCCTTGTGAGTGATTCCCATTGGATGGAAATTTCGAAAGCCTGAGTTTGTGTCTGACAGATCAACAAATATGGCCGTCGGATGGGTATGGAACTGGTGGTTGAATTTGCTGTCTGGGGCTTTGCGACGACGCTCGACATGCTCGTGGATGCTTCGTAATTCGCGGAGCGTTGGTAAGCGAGCACCAGCCCATCGAGCATATCGCTCAACCTCGTCGAAAGAAGCCATCACAGGCCAATCAAGTGCTTGCGACAATGGAACTGGTCCCCAGACAGTCTTGATACTGTGACGAGCGACGAAAGTGGTGTAATCTTCATCAACTCGAGCATCGCGCATGTTGTTCCAGGTTGCAGGAATCTGAGGTTCCTTAACGTCCACGAGGTACCTAGCATACTCGCCGTTACTGACCGGTCGACCTTGTACCTCGATCTGTGGGACAGTGATCTCATGCGGCTCGCGCTCATTGTCCCACGCAAAGAATCTGTTTGGGCCATCGTCGCTTTCAGGGTCATGGGACCCGATAGTGAAATTCTGCTCGGGCACTTTGATCCATGGATTCTGAAGGCGTCGTGAAGCAGATTCTTTTGCGAGCTTTGTGAAGTCTGGTTTGGGCAGATCAGGAGGGGGAATGATATTGGGACTTTGAATGGTCAAGAACAGGAACGTCTCAGCATGAAGGCCTGCGAGTTCTTAGTCGTCGAGAAATCCTATAGCGAGGTTAAACTCACCCTCATGCTCAAAACCGATCCATAGAGCTCGTCCAATGCAGCGGTCTGTGTATGGTTTCTCACTTCCGTAGAGCGCCGTGATTCGTGCCTTCACACGCTCACGATATTGAAGAATGTCTCCAAGACATGGAAAGACGTCCGGAAGTTCGCTATGGTCATGGCATCTCGAAGGATCATCAACATCAGGATCAATGCCGCGCTCAAAGATCTGATGAAAATATGCTGGCTCAGTGAGCTTGCTGTTCGTTGCCCGCGCAAGATGAATATCCTCACTAAGTCGACTATTGGCCAAGGTTTGAGATGACACGGTGGGTATCTTGCAAGGTTGGAATATGACCCAGATAGAATAGTAGAGGATTTCGCAGAGGAATTGGTTGTTCCATCAATGCATCAGGCGGTATCATCTTGGTGGTGACAAGGTCCCAGACCCTCCATAGTTGTTTCCATTCAGCCATTGAAGGCACAGGAGCTGGAGCATACTGCTCTGGTGTCAGCGGAAAGGTGTATGGGTTCTTCGATTCCATTATAGGTTTTCTGGAGGCTGTGGCTATGGCAAAGGTGAGAACAAACAAATGAGAGGCCCGACGATGCGTGGTGATATGTTGAGCTCTCGGGCCCTCGGCCTGGCCCGTAGTATCAACGACATCATCCGCCAAGCTCCCCATCAATCACTCAGCTGTGAAGCTAAGGCACGGCTTGTTCCTCCTTTCCAGATCTGGTTTGGCTTAGTGTCCTGGAGCTAATCCCAGGCACGAGGATCCCAATAGGCTCTCCAGTACCCGTACTGATGTTGATAAGGGAAAGGACTCAGCATATGTTGCCATTGGGTCGTCAACAGCAGACTGTGTGCAAGGCAAATACGATTGAATGTTTCTTGTACTTCATTCGTCGAGCAGCTGCTCGCTACCAAGTTGCCAGGAAATTATTCTGAGACATCATGACTGGAACTTGAACTATTTGAAGTCAGCGGCGCTGATCGATCGCCTGGCAAGCTACCTTATCTTGATAAGAACTCAGATCACTTGCACTACTCAAGACCGGGTATATCTGATACAGCCTCAACAACTCATCAAAGACTTCTCATCACACAAACCTCGAGGTAATAATGATAAGTCACTTCTAAGCAGGCGTTATCTCGACATCTCAAGAGGCAGAACCATCAACAAGCCTACGTGCGTCACTCGGCGCACGCTTTCTGTTCTCCAAGATGAATCGTTGATGAATCGTTGAGCGTGGCCCATTGTGTTAAGCCAGAAGTCCCCCATTGCTTCTCAAGCAATAATAGCTAAGCTTTTCAAAGGGAGGTCTTACGAAACCCGGATGGTCTGGCATTCCAAATCATTTGGGGAGAATGCAAGGCCAGTGCAAGCCATGCGAAGCATAGTTTTGTCATATGACGCTCGCGTCATATTCCAGTCTTGAACGGAGAGCGAAAGTCGCCAAAGGTCGCGGAAGCGAAGAGAAACCGGCATGAAGTTGACTGTTTCAGTATTCTGTCAGTTTGAATAGTTTCGGTGCAGCTAAACAAGCGAAAGCAGGAAACGCATAGATTCGCGAAGAAAGGCGCGTTATCGTATTCGGACCAAGCTCTTGGCTCGGGTTGACATTCGGGCATATTACTCTCTGTAAATGAACATCGCGATACAGACTCGGAAAACGCAGGAAGAAGCAGTTCCGTTCCGTGTTCTTCCTTATAATCGCTAACTCGTGATGTCTGGTAACGCGGAGGAGGCGGAAATAGACAAATTCCAGCCATATAGGTCAGTGTATGACGTGGGTTGACTAAGAGTCGAATCATGAGGCTGCTTATAGCACTAGGCATTTATTCCCAGTGGGTGGCATGCTTTTTGATGACAGATCATGAAATCATATCATTTCGTCGTAGTTATTTAGAGAGTGCGTTTGCGCATCTCCGCGGGAATCAGCATCTCCAAGGAATGACACGCTCGGTCCTCAGATCATTCACATTTTGCTTGTGCATTTCTCTAAAAACAACATGCAGAAACAGAATAACTTTGCTTATGAGAAAAGTGCGGAATGGCATCTGTAGCAACCCGTACTTCAACAATTGAAGTAAAGAGGAGTTTGGTCAAGTTTTACTGCGGCAGTGCGGATACAGTTCATAAAGAAGTAAGAAGGTCAACTGCTTTGCATGGCCGTGCACTCCCGAAAAGTACGACTAGACGCATTGACGAGTAATACTGCCGATATTTGCAACACCCAGTGCAGATGCCTGACAATCCGACTCGTCCGCACGATTACCCATGCAGCGGAAATGTCATCGTCAAGCATAAGCCGAGACAGGTCGGAGCTTGATTGGAAATCAATTGCATCTCGTGATCTCATCGAACACGGATGGATATGGAATACTTTAAGCCCAATACTCCACATCTGATTTTCGCTTCCATGAAATATAACCCTCTGGCATCTCTCATCGTTATTCCAATCACTATGGCTACTACAAAGCTTCAATTTGCACTCCGCCAGAAAAGAGCACTCTTCAGTCTACAGCGTTTCAATAGAACCTACACGATGGCATCTGACGCACCGAGCTTCCCTTTCCAGCGCGCCTCTGGCCCCGAGCCACCCGCCGAGTTCGCCAAACTTCGAGCTACGAATCCCGTTTCCCAGGTCAAGCTTTTCGACGGCTCTCTCGCCTGGCTTGTCACTAAGCACAAGGATGTCTGCTTCGTAGCTACTTCCGACAAGCTCTCTAAGGTATGATCTGATATGATCTGATGGGCCGCTAAGAAACCACTGGTTCTAACCTGGCTCAAGGTCCGCACTCGCCAAGGCTTTCCTGAACTTAGCGCCGGCGGAAAACAAGCTGCAAAGGCAAAGCCGACATTTGTCGACATGGATCCCCCAGAGCACATGCATCAGAGGTAAGCACCTTAACATCCTTGTATAGCTAGATGAACAGGGGCTGACGCAGATTGAAGGAGCATGGTGGAGCCGACCTTTACCCCGGAAGCTGTCAAGAACTTGCAGCCTTACATCCAGAAGACAGTCGATGATCTACTGGAGCAGATGAAACAGAAGGGATGTGCCAATGGTCCGGTTGACCTTGTCAAAGAGTTTGCTCTCCCTGTCCCCTCCTATGTAAGTCACGGCAGATGATCCTTGAAAGGCCATATCTCATATTTGTCTAGATCATCTACACACTTCTCGGAGTTCCTTTCAACGATCTCGAGTATCTTACGCAGCAGAACGCCATTCGCACAAATGGTAGCTCCACTGCCCGAGAAGCGTCTGCCGCCAATCAGTAGGTCCAACTTGAGAACCACCCGAGTATGATCAAACCTGACAACTGATAGGGAACTACTTGACTACCTCGCAACTCTAGTCGAACAGCGTCTCGTAGAGCCGAAGGATGATATCATCAGCAAGCTCTGCACTGAGCAAGTCAAGCCTGGAAATATCGAAAAGTCCGATGCTGTCCAGATTGCTTTCTTGCTCCTTGTCGCAGGCAATGCCACTATGGTGAACATGATTGCCCTTGTATGCACTTCTGTCCAAATTTTTGCTGTTCTTTTGCTAACACTTTGTAGGGCGTCGCAACTCTGGCTCAACACCCCGATCAGCTGGCGCAACTCAAGGCCAACCCATCCCTTGCGCCCCAGTTTGTTGAGGAGCTCTGTCGCTACCACACTGCGTCTGCACTCGCTATCAAGCGCACTGCCAAGGAGGATGTCATGATCGGTGACAAGGCAAGTATTATCCCCATGTGACTAAAAGATCCAAGCGGACTGACCCCATGCTAGCTCGTCCGTGCAAATGAAGGCATTATCGCATCCAACCAGTCCGCCAACCGAGATGAAGAAGTCTTCGAGAATCCCGATGAGTTCAACATGAACCGCAAGTGGCCTGCTCAAGATCCTCTTGGCTTTGGCTTCGGCGATCACCGATGCATCGCTGAGCATCTTGCAAAGGCTGAGCTCACAACCGTGTTCTGTACGTATACAAACAAACCTTGAGTATTTTTCGGGCCTATGAACTAACATATTTGCAGCAACACTATATCAGAAGTTCCCAGATCTCAAGGTCGCCGTACCTTTGAAGGAGATCAACTATACTCCTCTGGACCGGGATGTCGGAATTGTGGATCTTCCCGTCACTTTCTAAGAATATCTGGAGGAGTGGATATTTCGCCGTTCTTTTATATAGCTTCGAATAGTACCAGAATAAAACGTCTCAGCTCTAGTCACGTCCACCTGGGAACCATGGTCGAAGCGATCCATATTTCTTCAGGTTACATCACCATCTGAACGACTTTATTGAGGAAATGCTAAGCCTGACGATGAATACAAGTATTAATCCAGTAGTGATTCCATGTCTGTATATCAATGTTTTCTTATTACATTAGTAAAAGGCCAGCTTTCTTAACACTGTCTTTTAAGGTTCTATCACTTGCAATCGTTGAGCCATCGCGATATACTGTCTGAAATACGAGCCAGATGTGTTATTCGCAGCTGAGATCCATGACTGAAAGCCTGTCTTTAGCCCTTCGTTTAGAAGGTCCTGTCACTCTCTCCATCTCCCACCACCACCGTAGTCTCAACAGTCTTTGTGATACCATGAGGTTCCGGGAATGTCGCTAGATGAACTTGCGATCCGTTGTTGTTTTCGTTATTCCCTTGTTCTTTGCCCATCCTGCTCATTACGTTACTTCCGCGGCCAGGGACAGGCTGACCGGTGGTTACAACTACTCGGGATGTAAGACCATAATTTGTTGGGTTGGACTTGTCCCGACTGTTAGAGTACCATCCTTCTCCTTGACTACGTGAAGTTCCTCGAACCACCTTGGAGATGAGATTTGCCATGAGCAGTTCGATGTAGAGCTTGACGATGTATGCAAGAGGGGCAAATTGGACGTATCTGCTCCAGTGTTAACTTCGAGTCCGCTCGTAGCACGTGATAGACTTACAAGTAAGGATCTGGAAGACTAAGGAACCCCAGTAGAAGTACGTCCATTGATGTCGAGATACACACCATTCCAGCGTTGAAGTTGAACAATCTCCAGTATTTGTTCAGGCCATCGGCAATTAGACGATACCGCACCAGGTATAGGAAGTACAAGTTGAGTGCCAGGTCGGTGATGAGGAAGAACGTCTTCTCACACTTCTCAAAGATCATGTTCGTATGCTTTTGCGAATCTGTAGCAGTGTCGAGATGTGCAACCGTGAAGATGTAGCAGACAGCGCCGTTCACAAACAGAATGCAGACCACGAGCCCCCACTTCAGGTGCCTCGCTCGGCGTCGGTTCGTCATGATCAAGGACACTCGGTTGGCGATAATCTGAGGGAGAAGCTGCGTCTGGATCGACCATAATATGACGGTCGCGAGGAGAAAACCGAGGCTATTGAAGGTGATAAGCAAGAGACTTGACGAGGTGTGTCAGCGGGGGACTCACTTTCCAGGGATGATGCCATTGAGATAGAGGAATGTGATGAGAGCAAAGACAAAATTGACCACTGTCTCGGTCCAGATCATGTACAGGTAGGCATTGTGAAGGCTGTGAGTACGTTTGTAGATGGATCTAGTCTGTGATAAGGCCTTTGCAAACGTGAAGATGAAGACGCCGAGGAACAGTCCATAGTAAACTGATGCCAGATCGATCATGTTGGGCAACCGAGAGGACAAATGACAGACAGAAACGAAAACTAGAATATGACATGAACAGAACTATATACATACATTTCTCACCCAACAAGAGAACAGGCTACGGGTAGAGATTACCCATGGCTGCATAAACACAATCTAAATTGACTTTGTTAACGTCTGTACCAAACATCTACAGCAAAATCCAGCTGTTAGCCCAGTATCTCGGTAGATGATGATTGTCACCGCTAAGGAGCAGAGTCAGACACTACCCAAGACTAACTAGTGGCTTGAAGATCTACGAACGCTAACACTCGAGACGGAAAGTCCTTAGGAGCAATGCCGGTAACACCCCACATAATTGACTTTACCGAGCATTGTATGGACCGTGATGAACCCCGGATTGTCGAAGAACCTGGGAACGAATGTCGTCGGTAATCTCTGCGAGTCAGCAAGACATCTTCAAGGGTTGGGATATGATCCCCGACTCCCCGTAAACGAGCAAGCGCGATCTTGTGATACGTAATAACTGACAAAGATCAACTGCGGAGGGTTCACGATTGGCGGATAATAGGAAGATCAAAGGCAGAGACTAGACGCTTTCACCAACGCGGGAATTAGAGACATTACGTGGCTCAAGTCTTCCCTTATCATTGGTCAAAGTTTCGCCCAGCTTGAATTCAATTTCCAATAGCTTGGAACGAGAAATAATTGTTGCTATAATTGCCGGCTCAACGCTGAGGGTACCGTAGCGCAGAGGCATCTCCTGAAACCCCAGTCCAGCGAGCAAGACGCTAACAGAAAGTTTAAACCTCGAATCAATACGAAGCAATTATGGGGCAGTCCATGGAACCCTCTGATCCGGTGTGACCTGAGCTATGTTGGATCGCGCCGGGAGTGCTTCCGTTTGATGAAACTATCGATCTTGATCGTCGGGCATTTTGTTTTCCCGGGGAGCATTGCAAATGTCCAGGGCCTGTCGTTAGTGACAGCGTTGACACAGGCAGCACTTATCTCAGGCCAGATTTGTGAATGGGTTGAAAGGTCTCCACCGTCGGTGTCCAGACCGTTTGATTGAGTTACTGCTTTACTCCAATTTTCAAACTTCTCAAATGTATATTTCACCAACTCTGAAACGACTCGGCCCGTCGCGAAGTTCTAAAACATCTATTACAACTGCCGGTCCAACCGGCACATACCGATTCGACACTATGATGATCAAACAACGATTCTTTCTCTCATTCGTATAACTGTTCAATCATTGTTGCTCACGACATGTGGTGGCGCGGTCTCGCAACCTTGTCTCAATTAATAGCCCTGTTGATCGGTGGCTCACTTGTGTTTCTTGGCACGCAACCGTCACCCTTAGCCTCGGAAACATGTTCAGGGGTTCGTGATTTTGTCCGTGCTGACCTGCAGAACTTTGGGCCCCTATCATATCTCAGCAAAAGAGAGGCTTTTAGGCAGATACAACTAAGACTTGGGTATCGACGAATGGGGATTGTTCCTGGGCGACTGTAGAATGCCGAAGTGCAATATCCGCTAGCAAAGGTCTAGAGGTGTAGCGCACGAATGAACCTCAGTTTTGGACTAGAGTGTTGCCATTTCTTAAATATAAGGAGATTCAAGATACGACTTTGGGGACGAGACCGTCTTTGACACTCATGACTATTGTCATCATGTGAGTTGATCGGAAGTTGGTGATAAGTGTTCCAGGTCATTCTATGAACCGACCTTTTGCTCGTATTTGGCTTAATAGTTTTGCGTCACTGCCTGGAATGGCAGCTGAGCGAGATGGTTTTCTTCATTTAACAAAGTTTGCCGTTCACATGGTGTCGTCCGCGAACAACGCTCGGTCACTGGATTTGCTCTTCTTCATGTCTGAGAGAAGCGACGGGGAAGGGGTTCGTTTGAAGCGGGATGGGGAACAAATATACATCTTCATGAGATCTAGGGCTTCTATCCTGCAGGTAGTTAACGTTTCGAAACTCATTCAAGGCAATTTTGGGCAGAACGAATCCCGCCTCAATATGCATAGGGCTTCAGGAAACTTCGAAGGCTACCCTCATGGACGAAGATTTTGTTTTGCCTCATGCATCTTCTGAACCTGGAAGTATCGTAGCCGTTACAGCTTAGAGATAGAACCCTCACAAACTCACTTAGCGCCATACCCGGTTAAAGCAATCTTCTGAGAGAAATTTATAGGGCTACTCTCAGGTATCCTCATGATATTCACCTAAACATCTCATACTGAGACATGGCAACCAAGGCTTGCCTAGCGCCGCCGAGAGCGCCTCGCTTGATGCGGAGTCCACCAAGCTAACGTTAGCGGCTTACACAGAATATGCATCTACGAGAGCAGATGGCCAAGCAACCTCTTGCGTCACTATCGTGAATGTCATTTCTTCAATCACCAATCCTATTCTACCATCTCTTCAATCAACTTTAGCCAATACAACACCCTGTCACGAAACCTTTTGAACAAATCACATTTGTCTCAAAAACTCAATCATCATGGCGGCAGAAATTACCTCCACGACTGTAGTCTCGGCACTTCCCCTCCTCTTCGGAGTAACCGGCACGAGCGTTGGAATCTACAGTTTCGTGTCACCCTACAACGCCATGCGTCTCTTCGGTCTTGACGCCCCAGCTACTGAGAAGACCACTTCCTCGCAGTCCGACGCTTTCCAGAAATCTCTTATCTACGCGTCTGGACTACGAAACATCGGCACGGGTCTCAGCACACTTGGCCTCTATGCATTCTGGCAGTTCTCGCCGATCTGCCAAGTGAGCCCGTTAGCTGCCGCAGTTACGAAGAAATGCATGGGAATTTGCTTCATGTTCGGTACCCTTGTCGGAGTTGGTGATGCTGTTATTGTGCGGCAGTTTGCGAATAAGGAGTTTGTTCAAGGGGAGGCGGAGGAGAAGGCTGTCAACGCTAGTATCAGTCATGGCGTCACGGCGGTAGTCATCCTGGCAACTGGCCTCTTTTTGTATTTGTGATCAATGGGTTTGCGTGGTCTGGCTGCATGCGGTGCTGGAACTGGGACTTCATTTCACTCATGTATAACATCTCGACTCATGTTTCATTAGTTGTTCACTATCACCAATATCATATCGGATGTATTGAAGCAATGAATCAACAAATTGCAATAAAATTACTTTGGCTCCCATTGTTCGTACAAGCATCCCATCTCCTCCTCGTATTCATTAAATATCTTACAAGGTGCTAAGCCGCCGAGAAACCAATCACCAATTCAGTGTTTGCCACTCAAATCATTTCTGTCTCCAGTGTCATGGATGGCACTGGGGGCAGCCTTCTTGGTGCTTTCAGACAAGTTCTCCTGAACCTTTTGTGGTAATACGGAAGCTTCGTCGTCGCTTTTCGCATATGATATGCCGCCGGATGAGCCAGGCGTGGACTCAGTGGGATGAATCTGAGACGTTAGACATGATCATTTTCAACTACTCGGGGATAACCTACAGACTCAGGAAGAGCCTGCTCAAGACCTTTGGGCATTTGTCGTTGAATACCTTCGGAAAGCTTGGAGGGGGCCGTGGCGTGAGACATGCCCTGGCCACGCTCGTTCTGAGCAAATCCCGACATTCTTAAAGCTGGTAATATTTTAGAGAAATAGCAAATGAGGTATCTTGGTGTTTCCTTGGCAAAAACTGAGAAGGATCTTGGCGGTTGGAGGGTTATTCTTATATCTGTATGTCGAAAGTCGAGTGAATGATCACGTCATGGATGTTTCACGTAAGGATGGCGTTGAGAATGTCGATAATAAAATAAGCATTATGATATCGCAGCCTTTAAATTGCCGTTCCTCTGACTGTCATGGTCGTCTCATCCTATCAATGTCATAACTTCGCATCTATGACGTAGCGTTCTCATGCTTCCCCACAGCAGAGCCATTGGGGATGAGAACTTTTGTCGATCAAAACTTGGGGTAATTGATGCGCGACTAAATAGGATAATACCGACTAGAAAGCCAAAGAAACAAGGCACAAAATGTCGTGAGAACGCGGCGATATAGGGTATGTGTTTAACGACCACCATGATGACAGAATTAAAAGATCAGATGGGATAGGTCCATGTCAATCTCAGACATAACCTATGTGTATCAAAGCTAGCGTGTTATCGTTTATTTGTCGGTTAATTTTGTCGTGGCTTTCCAGAGAACAGCCCCATCATACCTTCCTCAACCGCAGCGTGCCACGTGATCAGGCGTCACCGTGTAACCCTCAGCACGCGTCCCCTCAGACACCTCGGAAGTTAATCGCCACCAATCACCAAAGAATTCTTACAGCATCGCCAATTGTCCGTTATCAATCCTATTCTACGCGATATTGTTCCAGAAGTTATAACCCTATTATTTACTCGACGGATCGGATCACAGAATGGGGATTTCTGACGAAGACTTCGACTCTGGAGACGCTCTCTTTGACGACATTGATGAGGATGACCTCATCTTTGACGCACTCGAAGAGGCGGGAGTGATGAATCCGACCAAGAAGCATAGTAGAGGCAAAGAGAACGATGTTCAAGATCTAGCGCCTGCAAAGAAAGCGCGGCGTGGTTCCTTCAGTCTTACTGAAAATAGTTCCAAGGGCCGACTTGGCGAGACACAACGGATTCAGCTTGCACGAAAGCTCTTGGCCGACAAGTTTGGCTACAAAGAGTTTCGCCATGAGCAAGAGGCTGCCATCGCCAGACTTCTTGATGGCGAGAATGCCCTTGTTGTCTTCCCAACTGGTGCCGGAAAGTCACTTTGCTACCAGGTATGTCCCAACTCGAGTCTCAACCCAACATCGTCAGCGGTCCTCATGTACTAATGCAAGCAGATCCCCGCCATTGCATTCACAGAACTTGACCGCCAGACCAAAGAGAGACAGGCCAACGACTCTGGTATTACTATCGTCGTTTCGCCTCTCATTGCTCTGATGAAGGACCAAGTTGATGCGCTCAAGCGGAGGGGCATTGCAGCGGAATGCATGGACTCCACGAAAACTTGGGATGAAATACAAAAGATCAACAAGGATCTGCGAGAGGGACAGTTACGCCTACTGTACTGCGCTCCCGAGCGCCTCAACAATGAAGGATTCGTTGAGACGATGAAGCGAGTCAAGGGAGGAGTTAGAATGATTGGCGTGGACGAAGCTCACTGTATCTCAGAGGTATGCCCTTCCTCCGTTGGCTGCAGCACATTTTCTGATCTTGATACAGTGGGGACATTCTTTTCGCCCTGACTACCTGAAAGGTTTGCATCCATTGCGCCAGCTGAATGGCCCACGCTGACTCAAGACAGTTGCCCGGTTCGTTCAGGAGATCAAGGCCGAACGAGTCATCTGCTTGACAGCTACCGCTACACCACCTGTCGTCAAAGACATTTGCCAAGCGTTCGATATTTCCGACCAAGGCGTTTTCAGAACGTCTGTTTATCGTCCCAAGTAAGTTCTCACTCAACATACTCTGAGATCTTCGCTGACAACCTTAGCCTTCGACTCGAAGCCGAAGCCGTCAAGGTCAAGGATGACAAGTATGAGCTTTTGTTCAAGTTCTTGAAAACGCACCCCGGCTCGACACTCATCTACACTACTCTCCAAAAGGTTGCTCAGTCTTTCTACCCTCTTGTGATCTTTCAGTGCTGATACTTGACGTAGCAAGCTGAAGAGCTGGCGGCACACCTCACTAAGCAGGGTGTTCCCGCCGCCCACTTCCACGCTGGTATGAAAGTTGATGAGAAGAGACTGATACAAGATGATTTCATGAGCTCTAAAATCCAAACGGTGGGCTTGACTGGATCCGATGCTGGAGGACAGTACTGACAACGACCCAGGTAGTTGCAACCATTGCATTTGGCATGGGCATCGACAAGTCAGGTTGGTTGACGCGGGCGCCTCTATGAGCATATGACTGACGAATGCAGATATTCGGAATATTATCCACTGGGATATCCCGAGTACCGTCGAGGAGTACTGTCAGCAAGTCGGCCGTGCCGGTCGTGACGGCAAACCAAGCTACTGCATGCTCTACCTCTGCCGGGAAGACTTTTGGATCAAAGAGAACTTTGCGCGTGGAGACCTACCGTCCCGCAACTCGTTGCGCAACCTCCTAAAGGAAATCTTCGATGGCGATGTTGTCAAACTGCCGCTTGGCGAAACTTTCAAAGTCAGTCACTACAGCCAATCATCGTCTCATCCGCGCCACGACACCAGAGTACAGCTCTTACAAGTTCGAAGCAAATGGGCAATACTATCCCCGTCTCAAGAGCATGAACACGCCAGAGAGCAAGGCCATCTTGAAGCACGCCAAGAAGGCCAAGAAATTTCACTCGATTGATCCAACGAAAGTCGCCAAGGAAGAGGGTTTACGACGGAACGAAATCATCAACCTTCTCAATGATCTCAACAACAGTGGTGCTATCGTCCTCACCGTCGGAGGAGTCGAGCAGAAGTACAAAGTCATGGACAAGCTACCAAAAACAGACACAGCAATCGACGATCTAACAGACAAGCTCTACGACGACCTTAAGAGGCGCGAGAAGCAGGCTCTCGATAGACTCAAGGACGTCATCGATCTCGTCACAGCCCCAAAATGCTTCGGCCTCTCCATCGCACAACACTTCGGCATGGATCTTCCAGGAAACAAGAAGAAGTGCGGACACTGCACGTTCTGTCTCAAGGGTGCAGCTGTGAAGCTGCCACCTTCGTCACCCAAACAGGTCGACAGAGCAGCGATCAACAAGGTGCTGATATCGACAGACATCCGAGATGATGCGCGTTTTCTAGCGAGGATTGCGTTTGGCATCAAGAGCCCGCGGGTTGGCAAGTTGAAGCTGGACAGGTCTCCGGTGTTCATGTCAATGGCCGATCACGATTTTGATGTACGTGCGACTCTTTCTGGTTACAAGTTCTACTAACAATTCTGCAGGCAATTTTGAAGGAGTTCAAGAAGGCTTGCCATGAAAAGGATGAATGATTGAGTGTCGGACGTTCGAAGGTTGAGCCTACAACCTGTAAGGAATTAAAAGGTGCTATCCCGGGACGGTGTTATTGTAACTGGTGTTGACTGGAGTCAATCGGGCGACGACGTTACCCATGTTGGGATGTTTATTATGGCAAAAATTGGAATCTGGCATTGATGATATCGGGAACTATTGTGGAATGGATCTTATGTCGTCGTACATAGTCGAGGTCGCATGTACATTAAGATCGGATTCGTATCATGCATGAATGCGAATACAACAGCATGATTGAAACCCAACAAGAGGACACGCGTCACGACGAACAAATCAGCACGTGACCATCTCCAATGCCCGGAGCAAACCCGAGAACAAGTGTCGCTTTGGCCGTTTTACGTCGCGCGATCGATTTAGCTCTTGGAAGTGTATTTTTATCGTCCATCTTAGCCCTGTCTGTGGACCATATTCTTAGCAGGGCTGACATGGTCTTTGCACTTGACGAAAAATGAGATGAGCAATGCAAGGGTGCACTGTTCATCGTGCGATATTTTGGTAGGGACCTCGTGTAGCAGCCCAAACAGGCATTCAAAGACGACAGCTTTTTTGAAACGGACAGACCGATGATTTGTTCTAGAAACTAATTGAAGGTCGGTCGGCTGCGCTATTTTCCATCCCGTGTCAAGTCACTGCGGCGTCACCTAAAAAAACATAAAAATGATCCGAATTGCCGGAATGGCGTCATTATGGCAGATGATGTCTGTGAGCACTTGACCAGAGATCAAAAGACCTCGGAATTGGGTGACTGAAGTTGCATTCACTCGGACTTTTTTGTTTTCCTTGTTTGAGGTCTCCTTTTGTTTTCTTTTTGGGACGTGGTTGTTTATGCGGAATCGTTAAATGCAGGGGAAAAAACAGGAAATGGCGTCAGGGCACTAACAAGATGACAGGGGACGCTATAGCGGTTTTAGGGTAGCCCATCTCACAACATTGAATCCCAAGGACCACCTTAGTATTTCTCAAGGGCCCATCTCGGGGTAACGTTAATTCAATCAATCTCGGACTCAATCTCGCCCCGACATTTGAGTTTTTGTATTCTTTCTATTTTGGAAAGATTCAGATACGAGCGACATCCATGCCCCCTGCTTCCCGTGGGGTACTCACTGTGCTGTACTCGGGCTGTACTGTGCTGTAAGCCCCCGTAGCGTAGCCCGCTGTAGCGTGCTGTACCTACATTGGACGGAGCAGTGGGTGGGGCGGGACATGTCTCTACTTGTAACGCTCCCAAGCCAGGCCTAAAATTAAGAAAACGCCTCGTTTTCTTTTGACGTAACGACCCGTTAGGACAACGGCAAGCCACGATCAAAGAACCTCTCTGAAAGGCTTTTCTTTGAAGAAACGGATCAGAAATAGTACGGGGTTGTACGTTATTGCGCCCATGGGAGTGGGTAGACGCAGCAGGAATTGCGTGTATACGAGGCTTGTGCCCATGTGTCACCCTCCCAAAAATAGTATCCCTCTCTCGTCTCTTCTGACTTTTTTTGGCTGACAGGATTAGCATGATGAGAGAATCTACGTCACAGACCACAAACATCAACCAACCAGTTCTGCAAAAGCTGGCATAATATGGAGACACTAGTTACGCGGCGGAGGTCGATCTCTTTCAACCTAACAAGGATCCATGTTCTTTTCCCTTCCTTTCTCTCACTGTGTTTTTCTAAGCTTCACAAAGCATGTTGACCTGTGTCGATGTACTGTACTGTAGCACGCCCCCTCTAGGAGCTCTGTCCAGTTTTTTTGACCTGATTTTTCCCCTTCTTTCTTTCTTTTCTCCTTCTTTTTGTGTCAATCACAGAATATCCTCTCGTTTTTTTGTATCGCATAACAAAAGTCGGCTTCATATCTTGACGAAAGAGGGTCTATTCCATCATCGTAGTACCTTTTTTTTTTTTCTTACCGTCCCTCGTTTAATTCCCGTTTTTGGCGCCGCATTGCATCACAGCCCGGCACTTCCGATAGCGAGCTCATCGTATCGCATGTCATTATCGGCAAATTTACCTGGGGATTTGTTTTTGTAAAAAAGAAGAATCGTCACGCAGAATAACCCTCGCTTGACCAGTTATTTTTTAGAGCGTTTTTTGGACTGCGGGCAGAGAAGAAGAGCGCAATCATGGTCTTTAACCCGCAAGGTCAAGGGAACGGCCCAAACTATGATGCGCCACGCGAAATGCAAGATTTACCGGCTGGCCAAGCTGTAAGTTAGCTCTTTCAACAGTAAACTCAACGCAATTACACCAGCGATCTAATCTTGTGCTTTCTCTGCAGTACCACTTTCGCGAATCTGACGAAGCAGCCGCCGCTCGCATTTCACCCGTGAGCAATCCTTACGAACCAGACTACGAACAATTGTCCCCTCCTCCTCCGCTGGGCGCACAACGACCCGTCCCCGAGCAGAACGAGTCGAGCCGCGATCTTCTACACAGCTCACACCAAGGCAGCATAGGCCATAACAGCTTTGACGGCCATAGTTTTGGCCATAACAGCTATGGACCTGGTGCTTTTGGGCATTATCCTGCTGATCAGCACGGCCGCGTGCCTGGGTCTCCGGGTTACGAATACCCAGAGCCTGAGTACGATGTTGAAGCTTCACGTTTGGCCGAGTCTCGCCTCTCCGTCATGCATCGCGCACCTACGATGCAAGATTGGGGTCAGAATGGCGAGGCGCTGTCTGTTCCAGACTTTGCCCACGGGCGCCCCGACTCGACGTACCAAGAATTCGACGTCGATGAGAGCTGGATGATGCGACAGCAGCAGAACCAACTCGCAGGTGGTCTCGGTCGCTCAAAGACCCGTAAAGTCAAGCTCGTGCAGGGCTCCGTTCTCAGCATCGACTACCCCGTACCCAGCGCCATCAAAAACGCCGTCGAACCGCGATACCGCAACGGTCCCGGAAGCATGGAGGAAGAATTCACAAAGATGCGCTACACAGCTGCTACATGCGACCCTAACGATTTCACCCTGCGAAACGGCTTTAACCTCCGTCCCAAGATGTACAACCGTCATACAGAACTCCTCATCGCCATCACCTATTACAACGAGGACAAGGTGCTACTTGCGCGTACCCTCCACGGAACAATGCAGAACATTCGGGACATTGTAAACCTCAAGCGCTCCAAGTTCTGGAACAAGGGCGGTCCCGCGTGGCAGAAGATTGTCGTTTGTCTCGTCTTTGATGGTATTGACAAGGTCGACAAGAACGTTTTCGATGTCCTCGCGACAGTCGGTATCTATCAAGATGGCGTTCTCAAAAAGGACGTCAACGGCAAAGAGACCGTCGCCCATATTTTCGAGTACACCAGTCAAGTCTCCGTAACACCCGATCAACAACTCGTCCGCCCCGATCCCGACAAGCCTCATCGCAATCTTCCCCCCGTCCAGTTTATCTTCTGTCTCAAGCAGAAGAACAGCAAGAAGATCAATTCGCATCGCTGGCTCTTCAATGCCTTTGGCCGCATTCTTAACCCGGAGGTCGCCATCCTCATTGATGCCGGAACGAAGCCCGGCCCGCGCGCCCTGTTGTCCCTCTGGGAAGGCTTCTACAACGATCGTGATCTCGGCGGCGCCTGTGGAGAGATCCACGTCATGCTTGGCAAAGGCGGAAAGATGCTTCTCAATCCGCTCGTCGCGGTGCAGAATTTCGAGTATAAAATCTCCAACGTCCTCGATAAACCGCTCGAAAGTGCCTTTGGATATGTTAGTGTTTTGCCTGGTGCTTTCTCGGCGTATCGCTTCCGCGCTATCATGGGTAGACCGCTGGAGCAGTACTTTCACGGCGACCATACGCTCTCCAAGTCGTTGGGCAAGAAGGGTATTGATGGCATGAATATCTTCAAAAAGAACATGTTCCTTGCCGAGGATCGAATTCTCTGCTTCGAGTTAGTCGCAAAGGCCAGTCAAAAGTGGCATCTTAGCTACATCAAGGCCTCCAAGGGCGAGACAGATGTTCCTGAAGGCGCTGCTGAGTTTATCGGCCAGCGACGTCGATGGCTCAACGGATCTTTCGCCATGTCGCTCTATTCCCTCATGCATTTTGGTCGAATGTATGGATCGGGGCATAACCTCATTCGTCTCTTTTTCTTGCACATCCAGTTCGTGTATAACTTGGTCAATGTGCTGTTCTCTTGGTTCTCGCTCGCTGCTTTCTACCTCACCACCACCATCATCATGAAGCTTGTCGGAACCCCGCAGGTTCTCTCGGAATACCATGGTTGGCCATTTGGCGATACAGCCACGCCGATTGTCAACGTCTTGATCAAATACATATATATCGCCTTCCTCGTCCTCCAATTCGTCCTCGCTCTCGGTAATCGACCCAAGGGCGCTCAGTACACCTACGTCCTCTCTTTCATGGTCTTCGGTCTCATCCAATTGTATCTTCTCGTCTTGACCGGTTATCTCGTGTACCGAGCTTTCACTGGAACACCTATCGAGGAGCAGATCTCCTTCGAGTCCGGAAAAGCCTTCTTTGATAGTTTCTTCGGAGGCGATACCGGAGTCGCGGGTCTGATCATAATTGCCCTCTTCACCATTTACGGTCTCAACTACATCGCGTCCTTCCTATACCTCGACCCGTGGCACATGTTCCACTCGTTCCCTCAGTATCTCGTCCTCATGTCAACTTACATCAACATCCTGATGGTTTACGCCTTTAACAACTGGCACGATGTGTCCTGGGGAACAAAGGGCTCTGATAGCGCCGAAGCTCTGCCTTCAGCCATGATCGTCAAGGATGAGAAGGGCAAGGAAGCCGTGGTTGAAGAAATTGAGCAGGAACAGGAGGATATCGACAGCAAGTTCGAGAAGGTCGTCTGGCGAGCTCTCGCACCCATGAGCGAAATGGCAGAAGAAAAGCCCGAGAAGAAGGACGTCGAAGATTCCTACAAGTCTTTCCGAACTGGTCTTGTTATTCTTTGGCTTCTCTGCAACATTGTTCTCATCGTCGTCGTCACAACAGACGATTTCATCACTCTCGGCGTCTCAGTAAGTCACTCACTCTCCCTTGTCCTCTACAACATACTAATGCTCCGCCCAGAAAGCAGCAGACGTCCGTACGCCTACGTATTTCCGTGTTCTTCTTTACTCGACAGCTGTGCTGTCTATTGTACGCTTCTTCGGCTTCCTTTGGTTCATTGGACGAACCGGCATTATGTGCTGTATTGCTAGGCGATAAACTGGGGAGAGCGTTTTGTCGGGTGAAATGTCTTAATGAACTACATATATTCTTGGGTTACAGGAGAAAACTTCGGTGTGATACTTCTTTTCTGAGAGTTTTTGGATGGTAGGATGGGATGGTTTTGAGTTAATAGTGGCATGCAACGACTATTACTCACCGGCGTTGCAAATCAGAGGTAGATTGCTTTCGAAATCTTAATCTAATCCATATTTTTATATTTATGGCCATTGCCGTTACATACACATAAATGTTTGACGTCGATATACAGCCACAGGAAGGTATTTGGCCTGGTAGGTTCATAAAGCATCCTAATCTTCACTATATATCCACTTATTGGTCTATATTCACTATGGAGGCTGCTAATGTTAAGAACATCTGTCGCGGATGCCCATGAAAACTATCATATATCACCTGGAGCAGAGGCAGCTTCTAGCAAAACCTGCTCGATGGGGTCACCACTGCCGGCTCGACATACATGTACAACCCGGTATCTACAACTTGGACTTCAGTTTCAGCACATTCTCGGCCTCTTTTCTCTTTCGTCTCCAGCTCTCCAACCTCGGTGTCACCATGTCACCCCAGATAACCAACCACTGCGGATCAAATGCTGGCAACTGGCGTCCAGATGTCCCTGCGGCAGGCTCCCCAGCGATGTTCCTCAGATACTCAAAGAAGCGTTCGTAGTCAGGCGCAATAGAGTAGTAATCCTTCCCTCCTCTCTTCTCATTCACACGTTGCCGCTCCCATTCGAGTTGTTCCGGGATAGAGGGCAGTGCTTTCGCACGACCGGCAAGGAAACGAGCGATGGCTACGCTTTGCCACTCGTAGGCACGGAATGTGAATCCTCCCCCAAGCTGCGAGACTGAGTCAGTTTAAGAACCAGTTGGAAGCTAGAAGACTTGCCATTCCGACGAAAGTCAGTGTTGGATCTTCAATATTCCACGTGTGCTGATATACACCAGGTAGTCGACGATAAGCATTCTTGACACGCTTCTGAACCGCGGGGATGAATGGGAAACTGAACGTATAACCAGTCCCGTAGATGATATGGTCTATGTTGTCAAGATATGAACCGTCGGTAAAGTGCACACGGCCAGTCTCTGGATCAAAGCGTTGAATGGCTGGCTTGATAGAGATTTTGGGATGTTCGAAAGGAATCCAACCAAAAGCTGGAATGGGCTGATCTCTGATGGAGGCGTAGACTTGCCCATCCACGACACCCAGAATCTCATGAATGATTTCGATGGAGGAGACTGAAGCTCCAACCACAATAACTCGCTGCCATCGTCAGTATGGCGAGATCCTCGATTTAGATGATGAACTTTACCTTGCCTCTGTACTTCGACGCCTCTCGGAAGTGCTTGCTATGCTGTATCGCACCAGGGAACTTCCTATCAAACTCCAACAGCCCTTCAACCTCTGGAAACCAAGGCACGTTGTAATGGCCTGATGCCACAACTACCGCATCGAAGGTCTCCCTCCACCAGTAGTTTCGGCCTTTCAGTACTTTTCGAAGAGTGATAACCCATTCTCCATTCTCTTTCTCGACTCTCTCGATTGTAGTTTCCAGCTCAAGCAGCTTATCATGACCACCACGTGCAAAGATACCCTCTATCCATTCACGGACAACAGAATGATGTCGAAAGGGCGAGTCTGGCCCGTATTCATCGAGTGTCTTCTTGGAGAGTTTCTTCGGGAAGGGCTCTTGAGTGTAACTCATTATATCAGGTGCAATGTTACTATGAAGATTCTCATGGATCGGGGTGTCTGAGAATCGGTGTTGGTGGCTGTTTACTGCCTCAGAGATTGGTGTTACCGCGGGTAGATTCTCAGGAATAAGGACATCATCGTCAGCCTCTCCACTAACCAGTCTCTCTAAAGAGGGGATTCCTGGCGGCAGATGCGGTGTATGAATCCTATTGGGACGTCAGATACATTTATTTTCATAGGGCGCGGGTCTCCTACCAAGTTCCTCCAACAGCAGACCTACGGTCGAATACACGGATGGTATCGAATGCTCCCTCCTTGACAAGCGCATCAGTTGCAATGGCACCTGCTGGGCCAGCACCAACTACAGCGACACGTCGAATTTTATGAGGCATCCTGTGATATGATAAAGCTCAAGAGAGATAGGGGAAACCAATAGCTCGGAACAAATGAAGAAGACAGGCTATGCAACTGAGAGATCGGTGGATATAAACGAAGTCGACTTTGAGGAAGACCCGGGGCAATCAGATCCGAGATCGGTTGAGGCAATTACGCCAGATGCACGGTGATTGCGTTCATGCACGACACTACAGCACGCAAGATTCTTGGGTTCTTGATGATTCCGTTACTGCTGAGGAGCGGGGAAGTTCTCCGGCCAATATCTTGTGTTGCCATGCCAATCTTATCAACGCCATTTGTCTTGGAGGACCAATAATACTTGTCGATATTGAATTGATCTCAATGATTCAATCCTGATAGACCAGATATTCTGCATCTTATCTAAGACAGATCTTACCTATGGCTATAGTGAATGACTCCACTGGAAGGCTATCACCTGTTGCGTGATCATGAGCCAATAGCACGCAAATAGATATCGCTCAGGTTACGGGTCACGTTCGAGAAAATGCCGTTATCGATAGAACCTATAACTTCATGGTGATGTGTGCAACAAGCGATCGGTCAATTCTGGCAATGTGAAGGAATATATGGCCTGAATGGACTTGTTTTATGTACCTGTCCAGGCTTCGTGTTATGTTGCTGTCCTGGGGATGCATCTTGACAGTGTAAACAAGAGAATCGTTTGTCAGAGGAAAATTAATTGGTCGTTTAATAATCCCTTCTCGTTTGGTTGACTTTCGTGTGAAGCAGTTCACGATGGAAGATACAGCCTTGGAAGATTCTGACCTGAACTCCAGCAATTGAAGTAGCAAACACTCTGAAACACTCTTTGAAGCACTATGGAGTTCAGTTACTGACAGTAATACTCTCGAGAACTCGTATTACGGAACTGTAGGATCTTCTAGAGTAGCGTCATACTCCAGAAATGTATGGTTCCTGAATCAATGTCTTTCAGTGGCATCGAAAATCCAAGAGAACTATAACCTGTCCCATGTTCTACGGTATTGTTAACGCATGATCCCCAAAAGTCACTATAAAACTACCGCATCTTCTAAGTAGTACCTTGTCAAGGAGTTTATAGAGCTGGCAAAATCATAGTGACGAATGATACACTGGCAATGGGCTTGGCGTCGACTGAGACGTCAGCAGGAGCAATCAACTACTATGATATATATTTCCTCGAAGTTTCACGGACTACGATAAGGGTCCTGGCATCAAGGTCTTCTTATATTGGGTCTCATACGCCATGGTACTGGTTGATTCACGTGGTATGAAAGACATCACCTAGCAATTTTCAGACCTCATCACGGGCTCTCTGTGTCAATACAATCGTAGCAAACTTCTGGGCTCTTCAGGAAAACTGTAATTTACATACACCTTAGTGGTCCGCGTCGGATGTATAGGCTTGCCAGGTCTGGGCAATGTAAGTTGCAGAGCAGGCGTTCCCTGGCCAATTTCTGTATCTTCATCAAAGTTCCGAATCCAAGGGTGATGCCCTTCAATTTCAAGGGTGATGGTTCGTGGCGGGCATCAGGTGCCCAGGCCTTGTGACCTTTGCAGCCTCCCTGGCCGGTCCGATAGTCTGGTTCACCCTCCATATTTAAGGTTCTGTGGCAAGGCATTTGGAGGTGTAGCCTCAGCTATTGGGCTTCTCCATTTTATCGCTTCATCAAATCTGTGTTTGTATGTCACGACTTCATGATAGTTTGTCGAGACGGAGATTGTATAGTGAGGAGATGCAGTCAAGAGGAAGTTATCAGCTAACGAGAAGTGTCTAATTTGACAATATTTCCACTTGCTTCAGTCTAGAAGAAAGAGTTAGAGAAGTTAATCGTGGCTCTATTTTTAACACACCGACGGGCTGGATATCATGGGGTCGAGGGGCAGTAGAAGTAATTTCGCTCCAGCCATAGCAATACGATTACGCGTGCCGATATGCGGTGACCTATGCACCGACCTCAATCTCGATTTATGACTAACCATTACCAACGGCAATCTCCTACAGTAAAAGCTACCGAGTATCAGTGTTCGGTCATGGCTGGCGGAATGTTCAATAGTCAAAAACCTCCCACCAATTCGTCACGATTGGTGACGTGGAAAGGCTGACAGACGACGTAACAATGCTATAGGCATTACCAGCGCCCAAGCTAGTGGTGTGCAATCTCAGAATCAGAACATGCTACGGTAAATCAGGCCCAGCAACTGTCTATGGATGGTAACCCCCCAACAAGTCCTGCATCACTAGCGCTACACACAAGCATTCCAACACGAAACAAGACGGTGTGCAGGTGAAGGGTGTAGACTGATTGGTCTATCTGGTGCCTGTGAGGGGTTATCTCGTCTCCAACTGCGAATCTCGATTTAAGCTTTCGGTGATATCACTGCCGAGCTGCCCAAGGACTTTCTTGTCCGGGGCGTGCAGCTGCAGCACGGTCTTTGTCGATCAGATGCCGGCTTATCACGGTATCCCGTTCCGCTCTCAGCCTCACCTTGTGGTGCGAAGGCCTTATCATGGTGGGAGGCAAGATAGCTGAAGCTTGTTATCTCTTCACCGAGCATTCACCGCTTGTTTGTTCAGAGCATGTCACGATGGTCATAAGAAGCTTTTCTAAAGTAAAGATCTCAATTTCTGTCTAAGAAATGTTGCAGGATGCAATAGTATAGCTAATTAAGCATCTGCTGGGTCATAATCTTTCGTGAATAAACAATGCAATCTTGTGTAAAGAGCAAAACTCGCTTTTATCTTGTAAATCCTCCCATGTAATCCAAATCAATCAGTAAATCATATCCCAGATCTAAACAACAATGGCCTTGTGCGCGGGTCGGATGTCAATGCCCGACGAGTAGTTGGCCGAGCTTGTCGCCTTGGTGTTGATGGTAGTCTGGGGAGCCTCCTGCTGAGCGGGCCAGATCTCGCGGCCAGCCTCTTGCTCCTTCTTGTGGTGGTTCTGGAGCTGCTCTCGGATGCTCTGCTGGAAGAAGAGAGGACCCTGCTCCATCTCGGGGTGCATCTCGCCGTTGATGAAGACACCAGCGTTGACATTCTTCTGGGCGTTGGCGCAGAGGTACTTGTCCTCGGACATGACACGCTTGTAGAGCTCAGTGATGAGGTTGAAGTCCTCGTCGCTGGAGTTCTTGTTACGGAAGAACTCGTATCGCATGATGGAGCGGGAAGGGCTGAGAGGAACGAAGCGCTGGATCATGAAGAAATGAGGAGAGATGTTGGTGGAGGCATTGGGGAGGTAGTATGTGACAGCGATGCGGAATCCGCGGTCAATCTGGTCCTGTCGCTGGGCACCAAAGTGCTGGATGTAAGACTTCTGTGTCTCGACCCAGTAAGAGTTAAGGTCGGCGATGGTGGGAATATCAGGGTGAGCCACCTTGCAGTGGTAGCACTCGTTGTAGTTGTCGGCAAGAATCTTCCAGTTGTAGTCACCCTCCATCTGCCAGACGTGGTCGAAGTTGTAGTCGTCAAAGTTGTAGTAAGAGAAGCGCTCATGTGTGTCAAGGTTGTCAAAGTCATCCTCCCAGGCGACCTCAGGGGTCTTAGCGCCGTCCATGTTGATCCAGATGAAGCCACGAGCATCAACCTTGACGTGGATGGGGAGAAGACCATTCTGCTTCTGGTCAAAGCCAGTGTTGGCATCACCGTGGTCACCCTGCTCGGGAGCGACGATGGGGAAGGTACCGAAGCGGGTGATGTTGTGGAAAGCGTTGATGTTACCATCCTCGTCCCTGGCAATGACAAACTCGAAGTTGGCCATCTCATACTTGAGCCAGTCACCAGCGTTGGGGACTCTGGCCTTGTGAGTGGTGAGGAGCCACTTCTTGGAGAAGATGGCGCGCTTCTCAAGCTCGTACATCTCGACTGAGGTATACCATGAAGCGGGAAGGGCACGAACGGCGCTCTTCTCAGGAACAGGGCAGGCAGCGGGAGTAGAAGAGCCGCCGAGGCCAAAGTATCGTTTCAAGAATGACTGGGCCATTGTGAATGTGATTGTGTGTGTGAGAGAAGAGGAGGAAGGAGTGTTGGATATCTTGATGAAGATAAGAGTGAAGAAGTAAAGACGAGAGATAAGGACTCGAAGTCTTATATAAAAGTCTTGTTGGTTGGAATGGTAGAGTGGTGTTTGTTGATGATGATAACAATTCGATTGAGGTTGGATCTAGACGTCTTCTAAATACTTCTTTTGCATCTGGTGCATCTGGTGCATCTGAAGCTAATCAGGGCGTGTCCATACTCTATCGCCAACATTCAAACCACCCCCTTGCCACCTGATACCTGATGCCGTCTCATCTCGATAGATTGAGTTGTTGCTTGCAATCAGGTGGCCCTCTGCTCCGGTGTTGACGACCGGTCACATGATCGGACAGGCTATCTTTGGGGCCCGGCTAGCAACATTCACCCCCTTTGACAAGCCATGTCCGGCCTCAATTAGACCCTCCAAGAGTCATAGATGACGGCCTCTTAGTTATTATTAGTCTACGGCTTCTCGATTAGGGGTCTTGTTGTTGTCTACGCCACTGCGAGGTGTATTGTGTTCCCCCACGTCAAACCAAACCCAACCTCCGTGTCTTGGTGATGTTGCAATTAGCCCGTTCCGGACCTGCAGATACCCAGACACGGAGGAAGGACTTCGCGTTGATGATCATGAACTTCTAGAAACCGGAAGTTCTTTATCGGAGCTTCGAGGTTGATTATTTTTGGTATTTCGGTTCAAGTTGCTGCTTTCTCAGATTTCTAGAAGCGAAAGGACAAGGCTGAAACAGAATTCGGTGTAAGTGCGCCCGAGCACATGATCGGAGGTGACGAAACGCTGATGTCTGCATTGCTTGTTACTGATGGAATTTAAATGCCGGAGCAGTGACCGCCTGAATGGTCATACGGACAAGGCGATTTCGTAACAACATCCTCAATCGCTGCAACGCATTATTGTCAATAATCGAAATGGAGATAGCGGAGACCGATTGATTGCAAATGCTAATACATGACCGCAGAAAATCGATAACGACCTCGCCTAGTGTTCAGCTAGAGAGGGATTATTTCCCAAGGTGAAGCAAGTTTAGGCGAGAGTTGTAAAGAGCTGGAGCTGGTCTGTGCCGGCGAGTCCGGGGTATAGCATGGCTAAGCGGTTTAAGTCGTGTCGTTGAGCTAACCCAAGATCTAGGCCTGGACCCCGACTCTAGAAAATAATGGACTCAAA